CTCACAACATATCAGATTATCCTCCCCTCTAAATGAGAGAGTCTTTGTGGTATATTTACATGACTGAGCAGATTCATCATGCTTAGAACCATCTCCCATTCTCAACAATTCAAATAGAGTTCTCTTTTTTTTTTTATTTTTATTTTTTCATTTTTATTTTTTTTGGGTAAAAGAATGGTTTTCTGTTGGTGAGTATTGTGCATCTACAACAACAACAACAACAACAAGGGTTGATTTTACCCCTCCTTTTCCTTCTCGGAGATTTTTTTGTTGTTTTTTTATATTTTTTTTTTTCTGGTGTCTCCTGTTGTTTCCGGGTTCCGCTGTTTTACACACACCAAAAACAAGATAAAAAAAAAAAAGATAAAAAAAAATTGAGTTGCTCTGCACTACCGCTTTATTCGACTCGCATAGTCGGCTAATTGTTGTACGACCCTCATCGTTTCTAAGATGCAAAACTGACTATCAACAGTGTATATAAAAGGACAAGCCAATTCCTCCTTCCTTCCCTCTTTACAGGACTATACATATCCACTTCTCTCACAAACACAGCATACGTTAAGAGCATCAATTGAACAATGATCAGGTCTGTACGCATTGCTAATCCTTTGATCAAACAAGCAAGAAGAACTCCGGTTTATCTACATTTGAGATTCAACTCACAAGCATCGGCTCCTTCTTCGCAATCCAAGCACAATGATGCCAAGTTCCACAAGCCTACGCAACCAGGCGATGCAGTTTCTGGTTCGCAAGAACCTTCCGAAGCTGCCGACGCCGCAGCCACGATTTTGGCCGAGTTGAGGGATCTGCAAATCAATCCGAAAAAGGCCACTTGGCTTGAAGCAATGAAGGAGAGGGAAAAATTACAAGCTGAAGGTAAACAAATTGACTCATTTGTCTATAATAACCCATTGACTACCAAAGTTGGCGAAAAGACCAGGGCTGATTCATTTTCATACTTGCTCTTGCCCTTCAAAGATGATCAGTGGTTATGTGACGCATACATCAATGCTTTTGGTAGATTACGTGCTGGTCAGTTGTTTCAAGACTTGGATGCATTGGCTGGTAGGATCGCTTATAGGCACTGTTCTCCAGCTGAGCCTGTCAATGTGACTGCTAGTGTTGATCGTATTTATATGGTGAAGAAAGTGGACGAGATTAGCAAGTTTAATTTTGTGTTGGCTGGATCGGTTACTTGGACAGGTAGATCGAGTATGGAAATCACTGTGAAAGGGTATGCATTCGAGACCGATATCAAGGAGGACGACATCAAGATTGACACTTTACCCGATTCCAATGTGTTTTTATCTGCCAATTTCACTTTTGTTGCCCGTAATCCAATTACACACAAGTCGTTCCCCATCAATCGCTTGTTGCCAATCACTGAGCAGGATTGGGTTGATTACAGAAGAGCCGAAAGCCACAATGCCAAGAAGAAGTTGGAAGCTAAAAAGATGAACATTATTGAACCAACAGCGGAGGAGTCCAAGGTGGTTTACAATATGTGGAGAGCCACACAATCGAGTGAAAATGTCGACAAGGTCAATTCAGCCAATAAGTTGTCATTCATGAAGGACACCAAACAGACATCAACCATGTTTATGCAACCCCAATACCGTAATCGTCACTCGTACATGATTTTCGGTGGATACTTGTTGCGTCAATCATTTGAGTTGGCTTATTGCACAGCAGCAAGTTTCTCCTTAGCAGGACCTAGGTTTGTCAGTTTGGACTCCACCAATTTCAAAAGTCCAGTTCCTGTGGGTTCTGTATTGTCCATGTATTCTTCTGTTTCGTATACAGAACACTTACACGATGCTAGTGAGACTAAAGAAATTGAAAGTGAAAATGCACCCTTTACGTTCCAGTTGCCAGCAATGAACAAGATCAGTACTAATCCAGATGCATTTTTGTCGGAGCCAGGTACAATTATCCAAGTTAAAGTTGATACATTTATTCAACATTTGAATTCAAATAAAAAGAAGGAAGCGGGAACGTTTATTTATTCATTCTTTGTGCCTAGAGATAATCAAATTGGTGCCGGTGGTGATGTTGAGTCTGAGGGAGGATATTGTTCAGTTGTACCACAAACCTACTCCGAGATGATGACTTATATTGCTGGTAGAAGAAGAGCTCATGACACTGCTCAGTATGTAGAAACGTTGCCAAAACCAGAGACAGAGAATTAGAGAGGCAAAGTGAGAGGCGTATAGCTTTAAGTGGGTCATAGTATGTTGACTGATATATCACAACAGTAGTAATTACGAGAGTTAGCTTTGAAGCAGAAACTGTATTTTAGGGATGTTGTGCTCTTTGCACTTCGGACTTTAATGTCCACATAGTGACATCGGGTACAAAATAGTGTAGGGACTGTACATAAAGCGCGCCCGGACAATTGCCGCCCATGAAGTCTTCTGCCCTAGTGGACGGAAGTTGCCCTGGAACAGACAGGTGTTGAATCAAAGGTGCACTCTCTTAAAGGGCTCACCAGTATACATATTCTCACATACAGCACCTCAACATGTAAACACTAATTGGAAGTGTTTTATATAGCATATAGCATATATAGTAGTATATACTATATAGAGCAGACAAAATTGATGAAAAGAAAAAGTATTAACAAGTATTGTGTATTTATTTATTGTGTAATACTCACTCAACAAGAAACAAAAAAACAAAAAAAAATCTCTCTTTCTCTTTTTACTCCGACATTAAAAAGAAAAACCAAACTGTTGATACATCATCGATCCACATTACCAAATTCTCACCATCCCCCCCCCAATTCAACTACATATTCCTCCCTTCCATAGACAAGTATACCTACATAGAGACACTCCACTGTGGTCATGGCTCCAATAACATCATCAGTCGCAAAGACTGCTCAATTAGCAGCACAAGCAGTCAAGTACAACAAAACACCCATGCACAGATTGGGCCAAGCGCAAGCAATGAGAATGCAATTCAACAACTCATCAAGCCTACTCACTTCTACCCGTTGCAACAACTCCAAGTCGGGCCAACAAGAAATGACCGTGAGGGATGCCTTGAACTCGGGTTTAGCTGAAGAATTGGACCGTGATGACGATGTGTTTTTGATGGGTGAAGAAGTCGGTCAATATAATGGTGCTTACAAAGTAAGTAAAGGTTTATTGGACAGATTCGGCGAGAGAAGAGTCATTGATACTCCAATTACTGAGATGGGGTTCACCGGGTTGGCTGTTGGTGCAGCTTTCCATGGATTGAAACCAGTTTTGGAATTTATGACATTCAACTTTGCTATGCAAGCCATTGACCAAATCATCAACTCTGCTGCCAAGACACACTACATGAGTGGTGGTATCCAACCATGTAATATTACCTTTAGAGGTCCAAATGGTGCTGCTGCCGGTGTTGCTGCCCAGCATTCCCAGGATTATGCTGCTTGGTATGGTTCAATTCCCGGTTTGAAAGTCTTGTCGCCATATTCAGCCGAAGACTACAAGGGTTTAATCAAGGCTGCAATCAGAGATCCAAACCCAGTGGTATTTTTGGAAAACGAGATTGCATATGGTGAATCGTTCCCAGTCAGCGAGGACGTTCTTTCATCAGACTTTGTTTTGCCAATTGGTAAAGCCAAGGTTGAAAGAGAAGGTACTGATATCACCCTTGTTGGTCATTCTAGAGCTGTCAAGTTTGCCATGGAAGCCGCTGAGAAATTGAAGCAAGATTATGGTGTTAATGCAGAAGTCATCAATTTGAGATCGATTAAACCTTTGGACGTTCCAACCATTGTTGAATCATTGAAAAAGACCAACCATTTGGTTACTGTTGAAAATGGGTTCCCTGCTTTTGGTGTTGGTTCGGAAATTTGTGCGCAAATCATGGAATCTGAAGGTTTTGACTACTTGGATGCTCCAGTTGAAAGAGTAACTGGATGTGAAGTTCCAACCCCATACGCTAAAGAATTGGAAGATTTTGCTTTCCCAGATACCGAAACCATCTTGAGAGCTTCAAGAAAAGTCTTGGGGTTGTAGAAAAAAAAGAAAAAGACATTAGAGAAAGAGAGAGGATGTGTGTGTGTGTAGGTGTATAATATGAAATAAAAGAAACACCTGTAGCTCAGCTTCTCTCAGTTAGTTTACGAAATTGTCATAATGTTTGACATATTGTAGACTTTTTAGTGCAACAGTGCGGTGCCTGAAATTTCCCGCTATAATTTCTCTTCCTCACGACCAAAAAGAGAAAATAAATCGTTACAATATCGTGTGAATTAAAAAAAAAAGGGGTAACGGTTTTCATCAAACACTCCCAGTCCTTCTCTCCTTATTTTCCCTCCAGTCAATCATTTATGTTACCAGCACTTTATCAATGGCTACAAAACTGAGTTATCCTTTAGAAGTTGATGACTCCCTCGAGAACACCCTCAATTATCGGCATGCCGCATTTGACGAAGATAATGATGGATTATTACCCGTATCCAACCAAGACATCAAACTAAAACCACTAGCTACGGAAAACAAGCCACTAAGACAATCCCAATCGTTAGCCCGCCGCGATAGGAAAGCGTTTGCCATACTTGTCTTGTTGTACTTGTTACAAGGGGTACCGGTTGGTCTAGCTTTTGGATCAATACCATTTATTTTGAAAAGCAAATTGACATATTCGGAAGTGGGGATCTTTTCACTTGCAGCGTACCCCTACTCATTAAAGTTGCTATGGTCTCCCTTTGTTGATTCAATGTATTCGAGAAAATTTGGAAGAAGAAAATCTTGGATCGTGCCGATTCAAACAGTGTCAGCATTCATTCTCATGTATTTGGGATACATTATCGATGCGTTGGTTGATTCACCAAAACAGCATTTAAATACCATTACGTTTTACTTTTTTATTTTAGTTTTGTGTTGTGCTACCCAGGATATTGCTGTTGATGGATGGGCGCTAACGTGTCTATCACCAGAGAGTTTGTCATATGCATCAACGGCTCAAACAATTGGAATCAACTGTGGGTATTTTTCGAGTTTCACGATTTTCTTAGCTTTAAGCTCACCCGAGTTTGCCAATCGATACTTGCGGAAAATCCCACGAAGCGAAGGGTTGTTTACTTTGGGTCTGTATTTGACATTTTGGGGGTGGATGTACTTGATAGTGACTGGTTTAGTAGTGCTTGTTCCTGAAGATCCGCCTCACTTGGTTGATATAAACAAGGATCGAATGGCAAAGGAAAAAGGGGTACACAATACTAACAAATGGTTGCAACTACGTCAAGTGTTTGAGTCAATGTACGAAGTGCTCAAATTACCAAATGTACAGACATTTGTCGTCATATTGTTACTCGCAAAATTGGGATTCCAAGCAAATGAAGCTGGCACAAATTTGAAATTGTTGGAGAAGGGGCTTTCAAAGGAGGATTTATCAATCACTGTTCTTATCGACTTCCCATTCGAAATGATTTTCGGTTATTATGCCGGAAGATGGTCAACGGGCAAAGCACCATTGAAGCCGTGGCTTTGGGGATTTATTGGGAGGTTAGTAGCTGCATCGTTGGCACAATTGATTGTTTACTTTTTCCCGCTGAATGGTCAGGTTCTGAAAACCTATTTTTTGATGATTATCTTGCAACATTTGCTTGGGTCATTTATGTCAACGATACAGTTTGTGTCCCTTTGTGCATTCCATACCAAGATTGCCGACCCGGCTATCGGTGGAACTTATATGACTACCCTCAATACGTTATCCAACTATGGTGGTACTTGGCCTCGAATTTTTATTTATTTCCTTATTGACAAAATCACTTATGCCAAATGCAACCTTAGTGGAGGTCAACATATAATGATAAAGTCGGAGGAGGAAAGAGAGCAATGCAAATACGCTAAAGGTGAGCTTGTCATGATTCGTGATGGGTATCTCTATACCAATGCATTATGTATAACGTTGGGAATACTTATCTTGCTATGGGTTAAGAAGAAAGCCACGTATTTGCAAAGCTTGCCCAGCAGTGCATGGAGAGTAAAGAAGGACTAGAAATGTATATGTTGTATTAGCTTTAGATTGTGATGTACACATTACTGTTTTGTAATCAGAAAACGCGTAGAATCAAATTTCAAACGCACATTTATTACCTACGGTATTACCTACAGTATTACCTACACACAACCTACAAAAAAGCACCCGAATTCTATACTTTGCTGGCGTATAGCATGGACCAGCTGCATTTAAATCAACCATTATCAACACTGATATCGACCTTAGATGACATCTTGCTCAAAACTTCGTTTGTCGACACGCCCATCTTTGACTTGCAATCGACTCCCAGTTGTCGTGGAATGTACATCGTGATGACCTCACTAATTGTGTCTCACTTGTCCCAGAACAAACCTGTTATAATCATTGATACACTAAATAAGTTTCCCTTTCATTTACTCAAAAATCACACCAAATTCAATGCAGATTTCAAGAACAACATCACCCATTATGTGTGTGACACATTTGCCAAATTATATTCACTAATATCTACAAAGTCAAACTTTGGTACAGATTCATTGATTGTTATAAACGAGTTTCACAGTCTTCTTGAGCTATACAAGCTAGAGATGTCGGCCTCGTATGAAGAGACCATTCTCAAGAACTTTATTGAAAACAATTCCACCTTGATCAATAATAAAGCAAGTGGTGCTAAGGACACATTCACCAAGATACCTTCTGCGTCCGATCTCCTCAAAGTCAGTCCAATTTCCAAATACGAGGCTCATGTGAAGCTACTATTTCGAAACTTGCACAATATCTGCACAGACTCAAATTCAATGATATATTTGCTAGGGTATATGGAAACAAAGTATCGGCCGTACAAGTTACTCAACAATGTCGATGCGTCGCAGCTTGCATATAGCGAAAAGGGGAGGGTAATACTCTCACCAATCTCAACTCACAAGTCATGCACAACAAGACTCCTATTTTATCTTGACTGGTACCATAAAACACCTCACTTTTTCCGTAATTTCCCCATTGACGACACGCGTCAAATTACAATAAATCAAGCAATGTTAAAGTTGATCAATGTGGTGAAAGTTGAAGCTAAATCAGAAAGTTTCAGTCCAATCTACTTTGATGTCGATGATGAGTTTTACTACGATCAAGAAGGAGAATTCACTGGTGAATACAGGATTAGAGATTTGTCTGATACGACTGTTGAGAGTTGCCACGTTGTTTCGTCGTCACCAAGTCTCGATGCATCTATAATACATGTCACTAGCAACGATTTGGCCAACACAAGCAGCACCAATGACACCGAGGCTATTGCAAGTGAGGTGATTGAAGAGTCGGAAGAGGAGATTGAGATTCTGTACGCGAGCGCTACCAGTGCTAACAATTAAATTTACCTGAAGCTCATCTCATTAAAGTAAAAAAAAAAAATAAAAATAAAAAGAGAGAAAGAAGCAGACAAAGCATAAAGTAATTGAACCGTTATTCCTCCAAATACAACATATCACCACTATGGCTACTGTGATACCGCCGCCTTCGAAGAGGCAGAAAAGAGAAGCCCAACAAACAAGAGAAGTCAATCTTGTCCCCAAGGACTTGCCCAATGTTCTAATCAAGTTCCAAGCATCTGACACAGGAGAATCAACTGGTGGCTCGATTCGAGTTCCAGGAGGCATTACGGAAAGGCAACTAGAAGAATTACTTAACAATTTAAGAGGCGAAAGCGATGATCCAGTACCGTACACATTCTCCTTGTTACATGAGGACGATGGAAGTAAACTAGTTGATATTAGGAATAACTTGTACGAATCCGTGTTGAAGCCCGGTATAAAGACAACAGAGGATTTTCTCACTTTAGTGTACACTCCCAGGGCAGTTTTCAAAGTCAAGCCAGTGACTAGATCCAACGCAGCGATTGCAGGTCATGGCTCAACGATATTGTGTTGTACTTTTGCTCCAAATGACTCCGGACGCATGTGTACTGGAGCAGGAGACTCGACGGCACGTATCTGGGATTGCAATACTTCAACCCCAATGCATACTCTTCTGGGACATACAAATTGGGTGCTTTGCGTTGCATACTCACCAGATGGGTCAACGATAGCCACTGGATCTATGGATAACACGATTAGATTATGGGACGCATCGACAGGTAAGCCCATTGGAAAACCATTGACTGGGCATTCCAAATGGGTTAGTTCATTAAGCTGGGAACCGTTACATCTTGTTTCTGCCGATGCCCAGCCGCGATTAGCGTCAAGCTCAAAAGATGGCTCAGTTAAAATATGGAATACTACTTCACGTACATGTGAACTTACAATGAGCGGACATACAAACTCAGTTTCATGTGTCAAATGGTCCGGTTCCAATATAGTATACAGTGCTTCTCATGACAAGACAATCAAAGCTTGGGATATTGCTGCTGGTGGGAAATGCATACAAACCTTGAAGAGTCATGCTCATTGGGTCAATCATTTATCATTGTCAACCGATTATGTCTTGAGAAAGGGGGGATTTGACCACACATCGAGCAAGTCCTCCAAACACACACCAGAAGAGTTGCGCAAAAGGGCCAAAGAACAGTATGAGAAAGTTGCCAAATTGAATGGTGTAATTAGCGAGAGGTTAGTCACTGCCAGTGACGATTTCACAATGTTCTTTTGGGAGCCGCTCAAATCTTCCAAACCCGTTTGCAGAATGACGGGACACCAGAAGCTAGTCAATCACGTTAGCTTCTCACCCGATGGAAGATACGTTGTTTCGAGCTCGTTTGATAATTCGATCAAATTGTGGGATGGTATCCGAGGAACCTTTGTCACAACTTTACGGGGCCATGTGGCACCAGTTTACCAAACTGCTTGGTCAGCAGATAATCGATTACTAGTGAGTTGCTCTAAAGACACAACTTTGAAGGTGTGGGATATCCGAACCAAAAAACTAATGGTTGATCTTCCAGGACATGCAGATGAGGTTTACGCGGTGGATTGGAGTTTGGATGGGAAACGTGTAGCCTCAGGTGGAAAGGATAAAATGGTGAGATTATGGTCCCATTAGACATAGATTATATAACTCATGTGTAAGATGGCAACACGATAATGAACAAAGGTTGATCGGAGTTTAATTAGTGATTTCGTAATTTTCGGCAACAAAGAGCAAACGACAAAGAGACAGAAACAAAAGAAAAAAAAAAAAACAAAAGTTGTCAGTCACAATGGCAAAGCCTCTTCCAATCTTTCCAATTTCTCGATTGACTCTTTTTCTTAAAGAACAAACAGAGATCTCAATTAAAAAACAGACAAGTATCTTTGAAACATTATGGCCATAGTGAAAAGAGGTGGCCGTTCAAAGGCTAAACAACAACAACAAGCTCCAGCGAAAGTGAATGGACTGAGTGGAGGAGGTATCAAAAAGGCCGAGTTTGATATCACCAAGAAGAAAGAAGTCGGAGTGTCTGATTTAACACTTTTATCTAAAATTACAGACGAAGCAATCAATGAGAATCTCCACAAAAGGTTTATGAATGACACGATATATACGTATATTGGACATGTGTTGATATCGGTCAATCCGTTTCGTGATTTGGGAATATACACCATGGAGACATTGAACAAGTACAAAGGCAGGAACAGATTAGAAGTTCCACCGCATGTTTTTGCTATTGCTGAATCAATGTATTATCACTTGAAATCGTACGGAGAGAATCAGTGTGTGATTATTTCGGGTGAATCAGGAGCTGGTAAAACTGAAGCAGCAAAACAGATTATGCAATATATTGCCAATGTGTCGGTTGATACGGGCAATGCCGAAATCACCAAGATTAAGGATATGGTGTTGGCTACAAACCCACTTTTGGAATCTTTTGGATGTGCCAAAACTTTGAGAAATAACAATTCTAGTAGACATGGAAAATATCTTGAGATTAAATTCAGCGAGGGCAGTTACCAACCAGTGGCTGCTCATATCACAAATTATCTTTTGGAAAAGCAAAGAGTCGTATCGCAAATAACGAATGAGAGAAACTTTCACATTTTTTACCAATTTACCAAACACTGTCCTCCGCAATACCAGCAGCAATTTGGAATACAAGGGCCCGAAACTTATGTTTACACTTCAGCAGCCAAGTGTATTTCCGTAGATGGAATCGATGATGGGAAAGATTTCAAAGATACGTTGAATGCAATGAATGTCATTGGGTTGACTCAAGAGGAACAAGATAACATTTTCAGAATGTTGGCTCTGATATTATGGATCGGTAATATTTCCTTTGTGGAAGACGAAAGTGGGAATGCGGCTATACGTGATGACAGTGTGACCAATTTCGTTGCCTACCTCTTGGATGTCAATCCAGAGATTTTGAAAAAGGCAATAATAGAACGAACTATTGAAACTTCTCATGGTATGAAAAGGGGCTCAACATATCACGTGCCTTTGAATATCGTACAGGCCACTGCTGTGCGTGATGCATTGGCAAAAGGTATCTACAATAATCTTTTTGATTGGATTGTCGAGCGAGTTAACTTGTCATTAGGTGGTAAACAGAACCAATCAAACAAATCCATAGGTATTCTCGATATCTACGGATTTGAGATTTTTGAGCACAATTCGTTTGAGCAGGTTTGTATCAACTATGTGAATGAAAAGTTGCAACAAATTTTCATTCAATTAACGTTGAAGGCTGAACAAGATGAGTACGTTCAAGAACAAATCAAGTGGACTCCTATCGATTATTTCAACAACAAAGTTGTTTGTGATTTGATTGAGGCTACGAGACCACAACCGGGGTTGTTTGCAGCTTTGAACGATTCCATCAAAACAGCCCATGCAGATTCGGACGCTGCTGATCAAGTGTTTGCACAAAGATTGAGTATGGTTGGTGCCAATAACCGTCATTTTGAAGATAGACGTGGTAAATTTATCATCAAACATTATGCCGGTGACGTGACGTACGACGTTGCAGGAATGACGGATAAAAACAAAGATGGTATTTTGCGTGATCTATTGGAGTTATTGGGTACCTCTTCCAACTCATTTGTTAATCAAACCTTGTTTCCTCCAGAGTTGTTGAATTCCTTGATCGATACCAAAAAGAGGCCTCCAACAGCTTCGGACAAGATCAAAACGAGTGCAAATGCCTTGGTTGACACGTTGTCGCAGTGTACTCCGTCGTACATTAGAACCATCAAACCGAACCAAACCAAAAAACCTCGCGATTACGACAATCAACAAGTATTGCATCAAATCAAGTATTTGGGGCTTAAAGAGAATGTGCGTATTAGAAGAGCGGGGTTTGCTTACCGTTCAACTTTTCAACGATTTGTTCAACGGTTTTATTTGTTGTCGCCTGCCACGGGTTACGCCGGAGACTACATTTGGCAAGGTGATGATCTTACTGCTGTAAAGGAAATCTTGCGTTCATGTCATATTCCTCCGAGTGAGTACCAATTGGGTACCACAAAGGTATTTATTAAAACCCCGGAAACGTTGTTTGCGTTGGAGGATATGAGAGATAAGTATTGGCACAACATGGCCGCTAGGATTCAAAGGGCATGGAGAAGATATATCAAGCGGAAGGAAAATGCAGCAAATGTTATCAAGAATGCTTGGCGAATGAAGACTCACGGAAACCAATACGAGCAGTTGAGAGATTACGGTAACAGTTTATTGCAGGGAAGAAAGGAAAGGAGACGTTTATCAATGCTCGGATCACGTGCTTTTATGGGCGATTATTTGGGTTGTAATGATGGAAGTGGGTATGGAAGGTTTGTTGTCAACCAAGCTGGGATCAACGACCGTGTTGTATTTTCTGCCAAGGGTGAAATCTTGTTATCCAAGTTTGGAAGGTCTTCGAAAAGATTACCTCGTATATTTATACTAAGCAAGACTAGTTTATATGTTGTTGCTGAGGCATTGGTGGACAAAAGGTTACAATTACAGAAGGAATTTGTTATTCCTATCAATTCCATCAAAAGCGTTGGGTTATCAACTAATCAGGATAACTGGGTTGCCGTGTGTTTGCATACTCCGACGGCTATGGTACCTGATATTTTTATCAACTTGGATTTCAAAACAGAATTCATCACTCATTTGAAGAAATTGAATCCAGGACTATCAGTCATAATTGGCCCAACAATACAATACCAAAAGAAGCCAGGAAAGTATCACACCGTCAAGTCAGTGGTTGGATCTGGACCCCAAATTCCTCCAAGAAGCGATCTTTACAAATCTGGAACAATAACAGTCAACCAAGGACTCCCACCAACAAGCAAAAATCCTAAACGTCCTAGGGGTGTTTCAGGAAAAGTGGATTACAGCAAATACTATAATAGAGGAGGAGTCCGAAATGGTACTTCAAACTTCCGACCACAACCGGCGGTGACCAAACCATCTCAGCCTTCTTATTCCCAGCCTGAGCCTACACATCAAACATATCAATCACAACAAGCTCCTGCTCCAGTGCATCCATTGTCCCGTCCTGCAAATGTAGCTGTCATACCCTCTGCGCATCATACACGGAATCAATTTAACGATGGTCCTTCTTTACTGGTTGCTGCTGCACAAACTGCACTAGGTCAAGGACACCATGATAATAGGTCACAACAACATTCCGAGTCAACCTCTCCTAGAAAGCCGGCTGCGCCTGTGCGCCCTGCTAAAAAAGTTGCCCCTCCACCACCAACAAAGAAGGCAACATCGCCACCTCCAAAGAAAGCTGCTGCTGCGCCTCCGCCTCCTCCACCACCCCCACCTGCATTGTCAAAACCAAAATTCCCAACTTACAAAGCAATGTTTGACTATGATGGTTCTGTTGCTGGGTCTGTAGCATTGACGAAGGATACGATATATTATGTCACTCAAGTTAATGGAAAATGGGGGTTGGTCAAGACGTTGGATGAGTCACAAGAAGGTTGGTCTCCCATAGATTACTTGCAGGAGTGTTCACCCAATGCAAACAATGTTTACTCAAACCCAAATACATCTGCTCCATCCAACCCGGTTAGCACCACCAGTTCAAACACAAATACTACACAAGCGACAAATGCTACAACTGCGCTGAGTGGAAGCTTGGGAAATGGATTAGCTGATGCTTTGAAAGCCAAAAAGACTGAAGAGACAACTTTAGCGGGCTCACTTGCTGACGCTTTGAGGAAGAGACAGGGCGCGACAAGAGACGATAGTGATGGAGAAGAAGTAGACGACGACGATTGGTGAGAGTTTGAAAATATTTGTGAGTGTAAATGATTTGAAAAATTTTTTTTTCATATTGTAACATAGGCAAAGATAGACGAGTATTTTGAAAACCGTTTTGTAGTGGACTTTTGTGTTTTATTGAAATAGTTTTTACCCTGTTAGGCATTGTTGGCACAAGAAAATGCGCGGTCCACCGTGCCATTTGCGTACGCTTCAACGGTGGAAGATATGGCTCCATAGAGACCTCCACCACAAATGAAGATTGCAACAAGTATGCAGAACATCGATAGACCGGTTGAGAACTTGTAGTTATGGATCTCTCTCCATGAGTGCCGTATCCATGCTAATCTCAGATCATCTTGGTGATGTTTATGATGCCCAAGTTCGTACAATGTCATACACGCTGGAATGAATAAGGTGAACAAAGTGCCCACCAATGCTGCTGTTAATGCCGCAAGATTGTTAAAGAATGGAATTGCTCCAGCTATTACAAACCCGACCGAGCTAACAATGAAAATCATACCAAGCCATGTAATCCAATGGATCTTGGTGTTATTTTGCAAATGTTTGGTCCCCCGCAATATTCGTATGAGAGAATACTTGGCTGCTAGATGAGCCGTGAAGAACGACGACCAAAACAATCCCGGGAGAGCAACCCCGTATGCGATTTTTTTGAACAATTCTCCGGCAGATCCCAAAGCCGGCGATGCCACGTACTGACCAACTTTGGCATATACCATTATGGCAAGGACAATATAGTTGAACATGACCAAACCTTGTCCCATAAGTAATGATCTCCCATACTGTCTGGGATCTCTCATTTCAGCTTGGATCGAAAAGAAGGATGCTGTGCCACATAATGAAAAGAATTGAACAGCAATAGCAGAAACTACCGTGTTGAACCGAGCACCTGTGGCTGCAACTTGGATCATCTTGTTGATTGGTTCACCCTCGGGAGCAGCGGCCGGTACTCCTTGAGTTAAACATGCAATTGCAACAATCCAAACGGCAAGAAGAATACTTGACATGGCAAAATATCCCATAAAGGAAAGCACCCTCATTGTTCTGATTGAAGCACCAAGAATAAAAGAAACAACAGTTCCTACAACTACCCAGATAACAGTGCACACTGGATACCCCGTGATAGAATTGAAGGCTATGGATATGGTGAGCAATGCAGAACCATAACAAAGAGTGTAAAATAACCAAAATCCCCAACCTATCAATTCTCGAGCCACGCCTCCAAACAACATGTATGCGGCGTCATCAATGCAGTATATGTGCGGGTGCCTGATTCGGAACTTCCCTATGATGAGGCCTGTATAGGTGCTCAACAAGCACAAGCAACTAAGTGAGATCAATCCTGGCAAGAATCCTAAAGCATTCAATGTACTTGGCAAACCAAGCACTCCTAGTCCCAATTGTGACTTGGCAATTAAAACTGCTGCACCGTACATGCTAACACCACGGAAGTTGGGGCCCTCTGTCGTCTTTTTGAACACTTGGCTGTGCTCTGATGTGGTTGGTGATACGATTTCCAAATCTGTGGAAAATGAACCCAGATCTGGCTGCGCGCTGGTCACCGTCTGGTTTGCGTTGGGTCCGGGATATTTGGTATCTGTGTTGTCGGATATCATTGTACTGAGTTAAAAGGAGGTTGATCTGTGTCATAGCAAAGAATTGACAGAATATTTATATTCAGTCTTGAAGTGGTGGGTTGGACACACCCTGAACCGGCATATTCGTTTGCCAAGAGTATCCCATCTTGCATTGTTGTACTTTATCGTATTTTATATCTTATTGGATATTGAAACCCCACCATTGGAGACTGCGATTACAATCACAAGCTACCTCCAACATTGATTCATGCGTAGAGGATCATGGAGGTCATAAGATAAGTCGGACGGCAATCTCAAAAATACATGTAGGGTGCATGGCTGCTATTCATGCTTCAGAAAATAATGTTTCCCCCAAGATGTGTGAGGCTGGTCAGATAGGGCTTTTTAGGGAAACAAGTATATACTATCATCCACAAGTAACCTATCCAGAAACGTAAGCACATTATAGAAGTTAACTGATCCGAAACACGTAGTTACCTTTTGTGCAGCAATGACACATTCTTCATTCACGACATTCATATGGAACAACGAAGTCACATTCTTGATAAGAGCATATACAAGGCTCCATCTCTATAAGCATAGCACACCAAAAAATCTCATTGTTATCGTGGAAGGAATTAGAAGGGCCAATGCCGTTGGAGGCTTCTCATATACCTTTCTTTGTCGAGAGTGATGCTCAAAACGGTAATTTCCTGCATTTAGTGAGTTTGAAAAGTGTGGAACAAATTTAACCGAATCGATCTATATAAGGCAACCCCCTTCGGCTATCACGTCTCTACAATCAAGAATGACAAGCAAAGTTAAAAGCAGAAACAAGCTTCTATCGTCGCATAAGAAATCACTGCTCGCAAAGTCATCAACCAAGGATGAGTTGTTGGCTTTGAAATATCTGATGGATAGGCCGTGCCTACCTGTATATGCACTTGAGGAAGCCTCCGCAATTGACGGTACACGCTCGAAAAGCACTGGTGAAGAAGCGGCGGCGAGTCAGGACCTCACCTATCCAGATTTTATACCTTGGAAGGATCATACCCAAATTTCTAAGGAGAAACAAGTATCCAATCAGCGTGAATCCGACGAACAAACATACTTGAGCAAAGGTTATTTCGAAGCACCCCATGTGAGCAATGAATACTACTCGGGGAGAAACTTGGCTCTGGCAGCATTGTTTTCATCAAATGAAAATTGCTTGAATGTTGTCAACGAAATATCGCGATACCTCACCAACGCCTATAAATCCCGAAATGAGAATATCAACAAGATTCGGTATAGTGCAGGCAATTTCAAGATACCCCAAAAGATTACGCTCACGGCATCGAAACGAGAGAATTGGCTTAATGAGTTGAGCAATTCGGATGTACCGTTGAAAAAGATTGGAGAAAGGATTCCACATGGAATCAGAGGTAAAGTTCTCATTGATGCGCTATGTGCAAGATTCACTCCCATGAACAGAGCTTTGTGGTTTACCAAGTGTGTTTTGTTTAGCGAAATATTGGCTTTGAGGCGAAAGTACCAGTCAAAGATGCCACCTGAATCCACTCTGTCTGAAAAGTTTGAATTACATTGGTTACAGGATTGGACACAGCAAGTTGCTGCATGTATGTTCAAAATGGCGCAAGATATGATGGAGACTCAAGACATTGCTTCAAAGGAGTATCTCATTAAAAAATTAAGCTATCTTCGAGAGCTTGTTCTGTCTTTGTATGTGGAAACTTTATTGGATAAACCTTACTTGCTTTCGCTTGTATTGAAGCCACTTAAAGATGGATTACCACAAAATTCAGACGCAGTGGGAGACTTGGTAAGATCACGACAAGCTGACGATGAAGATAATCAGGACACTTTGATACAGGACGAGTTGAATTTTGCTATCGACTACGCACAGCGGTTTTCGTCATTAGTATGGATCAAGACTTTTTGGAACGACATTATTGCTGTCGATTATTTGGCAAAAGAGTTGGGTGAGGGGTTGTTGCTAAATCATTTTTACGTTAGCAAATTATCCAGGTACCCTAAATGGTTCTTACCGGAACACTTGAGGGACAACTTGCTAAAATCATTGAGTGACATGATAGTTTACCTTTTCAAACGCAACACAAATACATTTGTTATCCCCGGTAACTGGGCTATAACTAGGGAATCGTTGGCACTGATATTGTCACACGAAATGTGCAGTATGTCACCGAGTGAGCTGAAAAAATTGGCGGACCAACTTGAGCTTATAAACTACCGAAATGATAGCTTGATAATCAATTTGAGCAGATCTGAGACTATTGTTAAATTGCCGAGCTCTGGTGACCCACAGGACGCGAACGCTAATGATAGAAAGGATGTGCGGATTCCAAGTGGCGAAAAAAAGTTTAAAGGGGATCTAAGCAATTCAGCCAAGCTCATGGATGAGTTGGACCATTTGCGTTTTAATGAGAAACTTGCAAAACAATTGCGACCCCAAAATGGACCCCATATTAATGAAAATTGGATACATAGTTTGAGAACAGTCCTATTGTGGTCTGTGTCCCCTTGGCGATACAGTGAGGTTCAAAATGAAAACATATTAGTGATGTGCAACTTTTTGAAAAAGACATTATTCACAGCGGCAGAGATATCTACTAGAGTGGAAGTTGAGAATGAGATTTTGGATTCTATTATGACATTTTTGGAATTGAACTCTGGATTGGTTGATAGCAGCAAACTATATGTCATGGTGAATGAGTTGTACCAATTGAAAGTAATCACAATTGCTTCTTACATTAGGAAGATCATAGCTTCTGGTGTATTCTACACAACTTTGGCTGAAAACAATTTGAGTGAAATGAGTTCCACCACTCAAAACCATCTCCACTTTCTAGTGAACTTGCCCGTTTTGAACAACAAACAATGTGACAGTATTTTGCGGAAATGGACTACTGATGGATTCAATTTCAAAGGCGCTTTCGAGCAGACGAAACACCAACTTCAATCGCAAATCTTGGACAAGCTTTTCAGCAACAAAAGCATTGAAACTCCACCTGATTTTGACAAAGAATGGCGGTCTTGCAAGACTGGATTAAAGTTCCTACTCGTCAATTGGTTGACTGACGAGTTTAAAACAAGACTTGCTTCCTCGCCAAAGCTTGTTATTTTCACTCCCGACATTTTAGCAAACTTGTACAAATATTATGCAATTTCAGACAATCTTCCAGTATTTTTCAAAGTTATTGTCCAAGCAATACTCAGAAATCAAAGCAGAATGGCAATTCTTTATCTGGATGGACTTTTCCTTATCGCGAGGTTGGTTATGAGACATTTCAAGCTTCTCAAACAGTTTTCTGACTCAACCAATAGTTCCACCATTGCAAATCTTTTCCGGTCAATTATGCAAAACTTTCAGGAGTTGAGCCAACGCGAATTTATTGTTTACAATTTTCATCAAGTTTGGAGTTTTATTGATGCCGTGACTGAAAAGGATGGATCTTCTTGTAGAAAGCGAAAGCGGGAAGATGGGCCGGAGTTTGGTGGTTATGGGACTCTTCCGGAGAGAAATAATAGCTTTGGAACACCAATGCAAATACAATCTGTCGACTTGAGGTCAGGCCACACCCCCAAGGTTTCAGACAGTTATAGCTCAGATGACTTTAGAACCGATTTGGCTGCACTTAAGGCGTACAAGGCTAAGCCTTTGAGTGAGTCTGAGTTGAGGGAGTTGAGAGAGATATCTGCTGATGTTAGTCTAGAATCTCACTTGAAAATCTGGTTTCTGCAGATTAAAGGGCTTTCAGAATCGTCAGAGGTTGGTATTGTGAAATTTTGGAAGCATCTTACTCTCGGCGTCCCTTGGGAAAAAGTTGAAGAGGTTACCAAGACTGTTTTGAAAGATGCAATGCAATCAGACTATGATTTGCCAACCAAGGTTCTCATTCTCAAGAAATTGGTTGTATACGACATATCTTCGTATGGAGACATTTTGAAGCTTGTGGTCTCTTTAGAGAAATCGTATTCCGAACCTTTGATACGTCACATGCCATTGGTGCCATCTTTTTCGAAACACCCTGATTTATCAGCAGCTCAGCTGCAATTGTACAATATTAGCCTTTATTTTTTCAAAGAAAGAAACAAGCAGGAGTATACGGCTTTGGTACTGAATGCGTTCATCATTGGTGGTTTGCGAAACAATGACTACCTGGACGAACGGAAAGTTGAGTTGAAGAAATTTTTGAGTCAAAGTCTTCTTACTCAAGAGCAGTATGTCTTTAACCAGATATTTTTGAAAATAGATCGAAATGAATGCTTGTTCTTGTTGAACCTTTGTTTGAATAGGTCAGAAGACACATCCATCAATTTACTTTCTGATCTAGAGGAAAATCTAGAGGAGATCAATGAGTTTAATTTGAGGATATATCAAGTGCTTCTTTGTGTGTTATCTTTGAACTTGGATATCAAAGACAAAGCCGCAACAACCAAACGATGGAGATGTTTTATTGAGAATTTTTTGAGCAAGTCAGAGTTTCTTGAGAGATCGATATTTGGCAGTTTATTTTATTGGGTTCCTTGGGAACACAAGTTGACAATTTTGGAGATCTTTGAAAATAAAATTTTTTCTGAGCTAAAGGTTGACAAAAATCCGGTGGCATTGACTTTGAATGGCATTGATATAGGTCGTGCTGTCAGTGACTTTATCGATATATTCTTGGCGACTGCTGTTGACACGGTGGCGTCTTCCAATTCATTTATATCCAACTGCTGTCAATTTCTAGCCGATATCAACAATGTCATTAATAAAGAAGTATCGCAAGAGTGTCATACTGGACTTGAAACTCTTTTGTCAATTGTTTTGAAGATTCTTATTATACACAAGCCCTCCATATGTACCTTTATTGCCAAAAATTTGACTGGTGACCTTGCTGAGAATTTTGTCAAGAACTTGATTCGGATATTGGACTCAAAATACATGAGAACCCATAGTCAGAAATTAAGGGTCCTTTTCCACGATCTCTTGTTATTGATGAAGACATCAGTGAATGATGAAATTACAACGGTTGCTGAACACAACTTGCACGAGCAGCATAGCGCGGAAGAATTTAGGCAGAAAGAAGCCGCTTTAATGGATCTGTTACCAACCACAGCCCAAGTTCAAAGTTTATTTTCCATTCCTGATCTTGATGAGGAAGACCCCTTCAAGGGCACTTTTAGCGATCGCCAAATTAAATGCGCAATCATGCTAGACAAGGAGGAATTGGCACGCGGTGGAGATGCCAATCGTATGAACCATGGTGCTTTTAAACTACAAGTCCCCAAGGCGGATTCATTGAATATTCCTGATATTATGGGCAATATTTTGAGAAATGGAAAAACTGGAGATCAAGGTGAAGAGCATTTGAAAACATGCATACGTCCATTTAGGATAAGGAGTTACGAATTGTTGGAAGATACTAGTAGCGCTTTAAATGATGCCTGTATCAATTTGCTGTTGTTCAATGCGTACAAGTCAGAGGAAAATCCGCCATAGGTTTATATTCACTACAACGTATACTCACCAGTGCAAGGATCAACACTATGTACTGGTTGTTATTACAACGTATATACCTTGATAGTCATTATTTTTGTGTAATCTACAATGAACATCCCTCTATTTTTATTTTCTTTCAAACTTCTTCTTTTTTCAATACGCGTGAAAAGAGGGGCTTTTTCTAACCATTGAGCTTCAATCAAAAACCACCACGGAGGGCAAAATGGAACTGGCGAAAGACTTCGATGAGGTGTCTAGCTTATCATCGGAAACAGATTATGCGGTACAGTCCCAGGAAATACCTGTGATAATTGAATCACCCACTATTCACTTTCAAAGAGAGCCAGATGACGCAATCAACACTACTACCACTCAACAGGACAAACCCAAAGACTTGAGTTTTTTGACAAGCGCAAACTTCTCAACGGACTCATTGACAGAGAGTCCAAAAGATCTGGGTTATTCATTCACGAATACACAGACGAGTCCGACGCCGAGGAGGTACTCAAACTCGTCGCTAAGCAAGTCGCCAAGATTAATACACCCGAGCCAGCAATCAAGATCAAGACCACTCTCAGCATTTCTTTTAGACTCAGGCAACTCGATTTATGAGGATGAGAGCTCAGTCCCCTTTGACAATTCGCCACGATCTAGAGACTCTTTCACATTTGGTATGAATTCCAACACCACTCCGACTTTTTCGGATAAGGGCTTGCAAGCTCAGTCGTACTACGCCCTGAATGTTCGTCCTCCTTCACCAACACGCTCAACATCGCCAGTTAGATCTAGCAGAAACTATAGGTCAAAGTCTCCCGTGAGGCGATCCTCATCTCCCAAGAAACTGAACCCATTCAATTTTCAGCCTCAAGAGATTATGCTACATGGCAATGGATCGAACCATTCTTTGCAGGTAAAGCCTGCTCATAGAAAAGGTCACAAGTATAAGCACTCGTCAGTATCTATGAATATGTTTCAAGAACCGCCGCCAATGAGCGCAAATGAACAGCAATTGAAAGCTATTCCTGACCTGTATCCCGTACCGAATTGCAGAGAAGCTTTGGCATCTGTGAGGAAACAGCAAAAATCTAGACTTATTTGGGCTTTGGGACACCTCAGTTTGTCTATTGCCATCTTTGTGATTGGCTTCAAGTATGGGTTCAGCTCGTTGGCGACGTTGGCCCACTTGGTATTCTACGACTCGTTGGGATCTTTGTTCATTGTCTTAGTTGACGTTATGTCAAATTTTGAAGTTTGGAACAATTCGTCATTGGCGTACCCATTCGGACTAGAACGAATTGAAGTGTTGGTGAGTTTTGCCTTGAGCGCCTCACTCTTGATGCTCAGCTTTGACTTGTTTAGTCATTTCTTTGAAGAATTTATCTTGTCGTTGATTTCACATGATGAGCACCTGGATCATGAACATGTGTCACACCATGTCCATGAAGGTCATGGAAATCTAGCGAAAAACTTGCTTCCGTATGAAGCGATATTGGTGATTACTTTGGTAGTTTCTTTGATATCTTCTAATTTCATTCTTGCCTATGACAGAATCAATGAAATGTTGAACAAGTCTGAGAGCTCCACGGCGAAGAACGATGTTGCACCAATTAGTAACCCTGTGGAACAAAATACTTTGGCTCTGAGGATGCTAAGGTTATTGGATGTTTGGAGAAACTATCCAACCCATATGATCACAGTCACATACGCGTCGTTTCTTGTAATCCTTCCATTGATTCCAGAAACGTTTGTTAAGGATTTGGCATATGATGTCAATAAATGTGCCACAATATTAGTGGCGTTCTTGTTATTTTACAATGGTTGGAATCTAGTTAAATCACTAGGTGTGATACTTTTATGCTCGTTTCCATACTCGAACTATGAATATAACTTACTAAAGTCCAAGATCAAACAGGACATTCTATCGTTGGACTGTTTCAAAGATGGATTTCTGATCGATAAACTTTTCATTACCAAATTCAACTACCAGCTATACGTCATTGGCGTGTCAATCAGCATGAAAGGTGCTGATTCAGATGAAGAAGCAAGAATGAGATTTGAAGTGAACAAGATCATCAATAAAGAGATGCAGATGTTGGACGATGGCAGGAGGAAACATACATTGGAGATTACTATCGATATTAATAGGTTTTAAAGTATACACAGAGTCGTCTAGAAAAGAAAAAATCGGGGAAAATGGGAAAAATTATTTAGTGTAGTTTTGACGAATCCGGTAATCTTTTTTTTCACTCTGACTCACTTAAGCGCGATGAAGTGAATAAAGTCAATTTAATCTTCCCCGTTGAATTTTTCTTTTTCTTTTTCTTTTTTTCTTTTTTTTTTTTTTTTTCCATCTTTCCCTTTTCCTTACTAAAGAGTAAAGACAATTCTGCTCCCATAGGATGTTGAGATACCTAGCTAGAAACGGGTCAGCTGGTCACAGGCTTGCTCGAAGGGGATTCTTGGCCACTGTGCACAGCAGTTACTCCACAACTTCTGAAACAGCAAAGAAGCCAAAAACGTTTCACGACACTGCCGATGCCAGTGAAGAATCGCACACGGGTCAGTTTATCGAAAAGGTTTCCAAACCATACACTGTCACAACTTATGCTCGACCAAATCTTGTGTTAACCCATGGTAAAGGCTCATACATTTACGATTTAGAAAACCGAAAGTATATCGACTTCACTGCTGGAATCGCCGTTACTTGTTTGGGCCATTCCAATGAAGGAGTTACTGAGATATTACAAGATCAGTCTGAAAAATTGATTCACTGTTCCAATTTGTACTACAATCTACCAGCCGGTGAATTGGCGAGTAAATTGATTCACAAGACAAAAGAGCACAATGGGTTACATGATGCTTCAAAGGTGTTCTTGTGCAATTCAGGAACTGAGGCGAATGAAGCTGCATTGAAGTTTGCTAGAAAGTATGGGAAACTGAAAGGTGGAGATTCAAAAGTGGAATTTATAACTTTTAGCAACTCCTTTCACGGAAGATCCATGGGTGCTTTGTCTGTCACGCCCAACCCTAAGTACCAAGCTCCTTTTGCTCCGTTGATACCAGGGGTGCACGTTGCTGAGCCAAACAACATTGAGAGCGTGAAAGAATTGATTTCTTCAGAAAAAACTTGTGGTGTTATCATTGAACCAATACAGGGTGAGGGTGGAGTTAATCTTGTTGATGAAAACTTTTTGGTTGGGTTGAGAAAGTTGTGCAATGAGCACGATGCATTGCTAATTTATGATGAAATACAGTGTGGCTTGGGTCGATCCGGTAAGTTATGGGCTCACTCGCATTTGCCTCACGAAGCGCATCCAGATATCGTGACCATGGCGAAAGCTTTGGGCAATGGGTTCCCTATTGGTGCAACCATGGTTACTGAAAAGGTTGAAAATGTACTTTCGGTGGGTGATCATGGAACCACCTATGGTGGAAATCCACTTGGAGCTAGGATCGGTTCATATGTTGTGGATGAGATCACAAAAGAGCCATTCTTGCAAAAAGTGAATGAAAAGTCGGAAAAGTTTGTCACCAAGTTTAATCAAATTGCCGACGCTCATCCGGAAAAGATACTAGAAGTTAAAGGTAAAGGTTTGTTGTTGGGATTACAATTTGCAGATGGTGTTGATATTAATAAAATCGTGGAGAAATGCAGAGAGAATGGGTTATTGATTATAACTGCTGGAATGAACACTATCAGGTTTGTGCCAGCACTCAATATTCCAGATGAAGCTATAGACGATGGTCTTGCTATTTTGGAACATTGTATAGAGCAATAGGAGTATGTATTTAAACAAGAAGTGGACTCTGACTTTGGCCCCATGTGGGTAAGGTTGTATCTCCTGCATATAACCGATTTTCCAAATTAAATTTGGTCCCTATTACCTAATCATTTGATGTTGACTCTGTTGATTCTGGTAGATTAGTGTATCACAGATGGCCCATCACCTCTTTAGAATTAAAATAGTACATGAAACCCCAGTGCAGACCTGGGCCAGAGCTTTGGCAGCGTTACCCTCCTAGCACGTTCAAGAGGATTCTTGTTGGCAAAAAATATATCTCCCCATCACCTTGTCAGTCTTATCTTTTCTCATCAAGAGGGACCATCGCACAAACAGAAAAGAGAGAGAGAGAGACAAAAGGAAATACAAAACATCCATATCTTCTTCCCTCCAAAAGAAACGTATACAACTGAGAAAGCAGCACCTTACATACATACCCCTTTGGATGACACATGACTATACCTTTCAAAGTCCCCATATCCGATCTAGACTTTTGTCTAGAGCAGCTTTTGGATCACAAGCCACCCAAAATCTTGCCCTCTGAAACCATTCAACAACTATGCCACATGCTCAAAACACAGTTATTGGCTGCCCCCAACATCTTGTCGCTACAATCACCTATATCTGTTGTTGGCGATATACACGGCCAGTACCATGATATGCTAGAGATTTTCAAAATTGGAGGATCCCCTCCAAACACCAACTATCTCTTTTTGGGTGACTATGTCGACCGAGGATATTATTCGGTGGAAACAATTTCACTATTGATAGTGTTGAAGCTTCGGTATCCAAACAGAGTCAGCCTAATAAGAGGTAATCATGAGTCGAGAACAATAACCACAAACTACGGGTTTTACACTGAAGTGTTGAACAAGTATAACGGGTCAGCGGATGTTTGGTCGTACATCACCGATTTGTTTGACTATCTCCCTCTAGGGGCCACGATTGATGGTACAGTTTTTGCATGCCATGGTGGTTTATCACCAAGCTGTCAACACTTGGATCAGATCAGAGCAGTTGATCGATTTCGAGAGATTCCTCACGATGGTATAATGGCTGATCTAGTATGGTCAGACCCTGACGTTGAGATAACTGATTTCAAATTAAGTCCAAGAGGTGCTGGCTACCTTTTCGGAAGTGATATTATGGATAAGTTTTGTAATGACAACCAGTTGTCCCAAATGATCAGAGCCCACCAGCTATGCAACGAGGGATACACCAGCTATTGGAAAGGGAAATGTCTCACCGTTTGGTCAGCGCCAAACTATTGCTACAGATGTGGTAATAAGGCGAGTGTATTGGAAATCCTAAATACGAATTATGGAAGTAAATCAATAGAGGGTGATGATGCGGAGAAACAGCCATACCCACATTCAGCCAAAGATGCATCGTTCAAGTCCACGATTCAGGCAAAACAGGGAGTGCTACCTGGCCAATTCTTCAACGTGTTTGAAGCATCTACCGAGAATGATGAGGACACATTGAATGGAAGGGGGATCAATGGAGTAAACTTGTCAAATTCAGATAATAACGATACCGATTTTTTTGCCGCTTACTTTCAAGAACGACCCAAACGCCAACATGTGGATTATTTTTTGTAAGAAAAGACGAATGATAGCGAACAGTTGCAGGGATAATATTGTTTTATTAGCTTGATCCAGAAACCTGTGACACGTTGTGGTAATAATAACTAATATGTATTATAGACTTGTAATTAATAACAAACTGTTATCAAACTCCATCCTAATATACCACCTATCCGTAGTAGAGTTCGAAATTAAACCCATCATGTACCTCGTAGTCATCCAACGAAATGTGGTCTTTGTATATCTGATGTCCCTTTCTCAACACAATCTTCTCATACGGAGTTCCAATCTGTGCTCCAAGCACCTTTTTCAAATCTCCGATTGTGTCGGTGGGTAAACACTTTACCCGTATCTTTTTACCAAGTCTGTCATTTGCTTGTATTTCTATCATTGGGAGAGTAGTACAACGTATATGCTGCGTGCAGTATGGAGAAACACTTTTGTAGGTGTATAAAGCGTAGAAGTGAATCTTGCAGAAAAGGAGAAAAAGAAGAAATTAAAATCAAAGCGAGAAAACTGCAAAGAGGCCTCGTGAATTCAGTTTTTGCTTTGTTCGCAAAAGGGCAATCAGAAATTAGCCAAAGGGGGGTTATAAATATCCACTTGAGGATTTTGCTTTGTCATATACCTATTAGCACTCCCTACTGATCCATAGAGACACGTATGGTGCATTATGTCACACAATAATTTCGAACGCTTTTCCGAGGAAGAGCATCAAAATCATCTTCAATCACCAGAGATTGCGCAGCACCAGGGAGAACAACCGCAACACCAAGAGCATGCTGAGCAATTGTCGCGCTATACCGGCCTTGAAGTTGCCCCTGGAGATATGGCAATAACTCCAGATGTTCAAAGCAGGGGATCAGTTAGTGACCACCTGTCATCCACGTCAACACCACAGATAAGGAGGCCACCATCATTAATGCGTTCACAAACTGTAAATGGGAGTACGCCCATCACGACAAAGGAACTGCATGTGAAACGATCTCTTAGCTCTGGATATAATAACGCCGCGGCTAAGTCAGCGGCTGCAGCCAGTGGGAAAGTCCATTTTACAAACACCACCACCTCCCCCACCAATACCAAGAAGTCACACGCCATAAGTGTCCATAGTCCCGCTGCCGTTAGCAGATCACCCAGCAGCTCGGTTGTGAGAACCAGGTCAAGCTCATTGACGAAAACACAGCTGCAACCGGTTACCTCGCTGTATTTGGCACAAGAAAAGTCGTATTTGCGCAAAATTAAAAACCAATTTGCAGACGATTATTACACCAAGGGCATTACCGGTGCAGATGACGAAAGCAAAGATTCAGTTGATGATGAAGATGATGATGAAGGGTATGACTCTGCATCAACTAATGGGGATGATGCAACATTGTTGGCAACCATTGACGATGACAAGTACCAAATTGATTACAGCATGGCTCTTTCGTTGATGAAAAACTCCACTGTCAACCTCAAGAAGATATCGAATCTAAAGACGGATACTGCGGATGATCCCGCTGTTGTTGAAAGGTTGGATTGGCAGTCTATGTTGACTTCAGTATTGACAGGAGATGTGGTGCGATCGGAAAAGACCAAGATAATAAATACTCACAACCCTGACAATCCACTCGAAAGCTATGTACACTCGACATTCAAGGAGAGCATTTGGTTTGGTATTAGAGCAAAGATTTTTAATAGAACCGAGGACGATCAGAAGAAAATTGTGGCTTATAGAAGAACTTTGGTTGAGCAGTTGATTGAAGATATTATGCAGTTTGAAGTGAACTACGATGATTCAACGCGAAACCCAATCCGCGAGCAAGTCAAGACGATTTTAGATCGATATGATGAGGCGTGCAGTCTATGGAGAACGTTGGAGGAGATGCGTAACGACAAACCTGCTTGTCGTAGTGAGGAGTTTCAAAACAGAGTTGACGCATTGACTGCGTGGCTATCAATCACCGACGCTATTAAACGAGAAACGCACTCTTTGCGAGTGTGGATTGGTAATGACGAATTGGACATCACTAAATCACCGGTAGAAGTGCCAAATAAAAGCACGAGCTCCCTATCCAATAGCAAAATCGTCAAGGAGATCTTTGACGAAGATAACAAGTCTCTTGCAGAAAGGTTGATGAAGGAAAAAGACGTGCACACAATCTTCAAGAAGCGTATATTCAAGCCATTGTCGCCGTGGATGATCAAATCAAAAGATACGTATATCCGTTTGGGAAATATGTTTGAAATAATGAAACTACCTGATTATCTTCATGACTTGATTCAGATATGCATTATACCCATGAAGTTAATCAAAGAAATTATAAATGTGCGATTGGGGTATGCCATGAAGTTGCAAAACCCCACATTGATGATGATCGATCAAATGTTGGACGATTTCCAATCTTATATCACAATAGCATTGGAGGTGAAGCTGGGGGTTCAACAATATAAAGAGCCTGACCCACAAAAGATATGGCTTTTGAGCGAATTGTTTGATGGCGAAGTTTCAGATTTTGATACTGTGATTCTTAGATGCATCCGGTACTTTTTGGTCTTGTTCAACAAGAAATTGTTGGATAGCTCGAGGTCGCAAAACAGTTTTAGGACCTTCAAGGAACCAGAAGAATTGGAAGAAGTGTGGAAGTTCTTGCAATCATTGGGTAACTATATCGATGGAGGGGGTGCTGTTGTAGCCGAAGAGATTGCATTGTTGACACTGAGATTGAACCATCGACTCTTGGCGTACTTTAACCATTCCATCAGATCTCCTCCTCATACTGAGTCCACGCAGGACCTTGTTCGTTGGTACAGTTCAACTTTGGGGAATTTTGGTCAAATACGTCGGAAGTTGGCCAGATTTACAGGCGATATATCAAGAGCATTTACAAACTCCTTGGTTTTCGAGTTGCCTGATCAACCACACCAAAACAACACCAAGCTCTTGCTTGATGTATTGAGAGAAACTGATCATTTCCTCGTCTACACAAACACGATTGAAGCTCAAGGAACATATTTCTTTGCAAGTCCTGATTTAGCTGGAAACGAGCAAGAAATTCTCAAAATAATCAATGGTTCATATGTTGGTTTGGATCCAAGCACTAAGACATCGCATTTTACCGAGCTTCTGAATTTGCTTCATAGCTCATGGAACGTCACCTCAGAGAGCGTAGAGGATCCTCTGAAATTTGGATACATATTGTCGCTTTGTCCAATGAAGCCAATTGTGTGGGAGGGTACGGTTTTCAATGTCAAAGTAGACTCTGTGCCCACAACTGATTTGAAAAATGGACAATTGGCGCTCATTTCAAAGGTTCCATATTTTGAAATTCACATTGTGCGAGACAAATTTTTGGACCTTGTTAGTGATGTTTTAGTTGTGGGTGGTGGTATAAAACCAATTGAACCACGATGCTCTTTGGGCAAGGTTCATTACGAGTTGACAAAGACGAATAAAGCATTTTTCCGTATGAGTTTATCTGTTTTGGATTCGGTGAAAACAGTTCAACTCAAATTCAGACAATTGACTAACCCACAGGGTGATTACCAAACTGTGATCAACAATTATTTTGTTTTTGCTCGTGACTACGGAAAGAATGCAGCTCGTAATTTAGATTCTTCTCGAAAATCCGCCGTGATTATGAAACTAATGCAGTTGGCCATTGATTGGGTCAGCTTCATTTGTGACGATTGTGTCCCCACTGATCGGAAAACTTTCAGGTGGTGTGTATTGGCATTGGAGTTTGCCATGGATATGACGCGTGGCTTCAACGTGCTATTCCTCAATGACGAGCAGTTTAGTAAGTTGAAAGTGAAAGTTGCCAGATGTATGTCGTTGCTCATTTCGCATTTTGATATCATGGGAGCTAGATCCAGTGAAGCTGAAAAGAACAAGTTGTTGAAATGGACTTCTCAGAGACAAAACATTGCCAATTCACAAAATGACGAATACGCGTTGGAAATGTACCATGAGGAGATCATGCAGCAAATTGCTGAGATTGAACAGTACAGATCTGAGCTTCTGAATGAGTATCAATCAGTGGGTAAAGTTATTGACAAGAGCGATCTGGAGTATCAATTTGTCACGCTATTGGCATCATCATTCTCTAGTGTGTCTATTAGATGGCAAAAGGGAAAGTATGTGGGAGGTGGTACTTTTGGTCAAGTGTTTACCGCGGTGAATTTGGACACTGGGGGCGTTATGGCGGTGAAGGAGATTAGATTTCATGATAGTCAATCAATCAAGAGTATTGTACCACAGATAAAGGAGGAAATGACTGTGTTGGAGATGTTGAATCATCCAAATGTTGTACAATACTTTGGTGTCGAAGTGCATCGTGACAAAGTGTACATTTTCATGGAGTTTTGTGAAGGTGGATCACTTGCGGGCTTATTGACACATGGTCGTATTGAGGATGAAATGGTGATCCAGGTCTACACGTTACAAATGTTGGAAGGTGTTGCATACTTGCATCAGTCGGGAGTTGTGCACAGAGACATTAAGCCGGAAAATATCTTGCTTGATCACAATGGAGTCATTAAATTTGTCGATTTTGGTGCTGCTAAAGTGATAGCAAACAGTGGGCGGACTAGAGTTGCTTCCAAGTCGAATCGCCCCGTTACTGGTACCGAAAACCAGAGTTTGAACTCCATGACCGGTACGCCAATGTACATGTCACCTGAGGTGATAACTGGCTCTTCCACTGATCGTAGTGGTGTTGTTGATATTTGGTCGCTTGGATGTTGTGTTTTGGAAATGGCCACCGGTCGCCGGCCATGGGCAAATCTAGACAATGAGTGGGCAATCATGTATCACATTGCCGCAGGTCATAAACCACCATTGCCATCGCCAGATCAATTGAGTGAAGAAGGTAGAAGGTTCATATCGCGATGTCTTGTTCACGATCCAGCAAAGAGACCTAGTGCTGTTGAGTTGTTGAGTGATCCATGGATGGTTTCAATTAGACAAATTGCATTTGGTGGTAGTGGATCGGAATACAGTACACCTTCGTCTGAGAATGGGAACTCCAGTGCTAGTCAATAGTAGAAGATGTCGCAAAGCTGACATTCAAAGATTTATCTAGAGCAGACTGTAAATGAAATTAGATATACGGAACTCCATTATTCATCAAGACAACTATTTACATAAAATTATCAGAAACTACTGTGTTCTTTTGTTTTCTTTTTTTATTTTTTCTATAGGTGTATTTGCCTATCAAAAAGCTCATTAACTTCCTTAGTCACATCTCCTTTGATATTCAAAATTCCCGCACTTTGATTCATGTTTATTTCAAAATGAGGATAAGCGTCAAGTAGGTCCTGTTTCAATTTATGCAAATCTCCCTGAATACGTTTTATCTCTGTCGTTATTTTGGTATTTTGGATCTTCTTGTAGACTGGCCAATGATGAAACTTCGTCTTGGTGATGTAATAGTTGTTGATCCCAAATCCGTTGTTGGGCAAGTCGCGATACGACACAGAACTTAGGTCCTGGAATACATATCTAGGGAGTTCTGGTTTGGGGAGCTTAACTCGGAGTGCCAAAGCTGTGGGGGTAGGTCTCATTGGATGTTGCTTCGAGTGTTGGTAAAGAGGATGAGAACCTGCAAGACGAACTCCATTTCTCTGAGAAGAAAAATTTTTGTGTGTATGGTCTGGTCAGCGCACGACTTTTTGACACTGGAGGTTGCGAAAAACGAGAAAGATACATTATCTGTTATACAAGAGCTTGAATTGGCTTAAAAAACTGAAATATAGATCGCGTGCATAGTAACTCAGTATGCAGACTCTATATAGCAACTTCGGCACTCGCCCTTAAATCGCCTCTGCTCATCTCGAGATTCCCATTGTCCACTTCCTTGTGCGACCGGATGTGCTCCTCGAGATCTGTTTTCTTGGAGAAAGCACTTCCACATTCAACGCAAACCAATTCCCTCTCATGAGTCTTGATATGTTTTGTCAAGTTTGAACTCTCGCTAAAGCTCTTATTGCAACCTGGCCATTTGCATTTGAGCGGTTTCTCCCCTGTATGTACACGATTATGAATTGATAATGAGCTACTCGTGGCAAATCTCTTGCCACATGTGCTACATTGGAAAGGCTTCTCGCCAGAATGAACACGTAAATGTTGATCAAGCATTGACTGCACAGCAAATGAAGCTCCGCAAATTGAGCATTTACAAGGTTTGTAGTTTGTGTGCACGTGAATGTGACGAAGAAGCTTTTGTCGCTGCTTGAATATCTTACCATTGTGCCTGTCGCACCCTATCCAATTGCAAGTGTATTTTGACTGTCCCGATCCTATATGGTCGTTGATTATGTGGTGCTGCAAGTCGCATTGGGATTCATGAGTGGCATTACAAGGTATGGGTTTACCGTAGTCATCAACTCCAACCTCCCATTCACACCGGAACTCGGGACCTTGTGCACAACATGCTGGTTTATTGGTAGTATTGCCTTTCTTCTTTTGGGGGAGAATTGACATCGACGTTATATTCAACTCCGGCTTGGTGCTAGTGGGGGATTTGGCTGCTAGCGGCGACTTTTCATTCACACTTGTGGTTGACATGGGGGTCAACACTCTTGGCGAGCTCGTCCTGAATTCTGTCTCTTCCTGATTAGATTGTTTGTGTGTTTCCAAATGTTCTAGCAAGGCATCGAGATTTTCATCGGTGTAATTACAATTGTTCCATTCACATTGGTATGACGTCGCCTTCTCCAAATCATGTTCCTGTTTTATATGGTCACCAACTAAGTGATTCATAAAATTGTCATTGTTCAATTTCTTAATGCAATGCTCCCACTGGCAGGGATACTGCAATAGTGATTCTGCATCATTCAGTGTTGAAAGTTGTTTGAGACCGGCCTTTTTCGTCATCATATCATGAAAATTGTTAAATTTGATAATGAAATCGAAATCGGACATGAGTTTTTCATCTTCGTAAACAGAGGTTGGATCGTTTGGAATAGTTGTGTGGAAACATGACTGGTGGACGTGATGGTGGTAGCTCGATTCTTTGGCATCTTTAGGATGACACTCATGCGGGAAGTGTATTTGGAAATCATTCAGAGGGTTCCGCTTTGATTTTTTAACCGGTGGGTTTGAGAGAGCTTGGCTAAGAAGATTTTCCTGCGATGTCAAGTTTTGGTGAACATTGCTGATTAAGTCTTCAAATAGTGGTCGCTTGGCGGTTTGCAAGTCACAAAGATTGTCCTTTTCTAATTCTGGTAAAGTCCCCTGTGAATGATGACAACTTGATCTGTGGCAGTCACGGTCTTCGTTGGGAGACAGATGGCAAACTTTGTTATCCTTACATTGGGGATCTTCACAACACACAAGTTTCGACACGTGCTCTTTTTCAAATAGCTCGCAACATGGTATTTGATAGCTTCTTTGGCTCTTGAGAACAGGGACATTGGGTGGTGCTTGCTCACAGCATTTGTGTGTTTCCATGGGTGGTACGCAGTTTGCATCTGTGCAGCATGTCGTCTCATCCACTCCAGCCCCAACACAGCAACCTTCCTCATCAATAATTTTGCTGTCATCACATGTTAAATAGAAACAATCATCCAAATCATCGCAAAATACTTCGTTGCATGTAGCCTCGTTACTAAATTCCTGACAAAAACCGTCAAACAGCAGTGTTCCCGCTCCGCTCTGTAAATTGGGCGATCTGAAATCAGTGGAGTGTGGTACACACTCTTGTAGTTGGTGGTAGTGATGGTCGTGGTCGTGGTTGTGTATATGTCCGTGAATATGCGTGTGATCCTTGTGCTTGTGTATATGACCGTGAACGTAACCGTGTGTAAGTACAGTTGACTCTGGCGCCACTCCCTTTTCCAACATCTCAATCAACTTTTTATCCAGTATCTGCTGAATTGGGGCCAGTATTGAAGGAACAGCCAGACATGTGAAATCTGACTGACTTGTTGGTGAGATGGTCGTGGATGTTGTCGTGCTCACAACATTTCCCAACAGTGTATTCGATGAGCCGTTTTGAGTATGTGCCTGTGGTGTGGGAGTCATGGCTGGTTGTTTCCCTCTTGAAAGTAGCCTACGTTCAAGTGAGGGATTGAAAGGCATACAGTTTTTTTCAGATGACTTCAAGAAAGGGAATAGGATTGTGTTGTAACAAAGCTATAGTATTTGATGTTAGTCTAGTATACAACTGTGAAGATTAATTGTATGTCATAATGTATTGAAGTGTATCTATTATTAGTTAAAGATGAGACAGAGTTTGCAATCACCTTGGTGGTTACCTGACTCAGTTGACTTTATTTTTTTTTTTTCTTCTTAGGTTTTGAAGAGAAGCACGTGAAGCACGTGATTTGTGCTTTTTAAGAAAAATAAGATCAATTCATGGCATTGACACCTCACCTTGTTAAAACAGATCACTAATTCTTCAACCATCTGGTTCGAGAGTGTACGATGCTTACTGAGTGTGGCAAACACCTAGTTGGTCACAAGGCTACTGAAGAAAGCAAGTCCTTCTCCTTCTTTATTTTTCAATAGTTTTGCACCAAAATGAGTTGAATTTGTAGCTTACATTTGCAATTTGATTCAGGGTACAGCTCGAGAATCTTGACAAAATTAATCAACTTGATTCACTGCTGTTAGTCACCATAAGTCACAGTCTACAACTAAAAAAAATTGTGAACGTACCTAATCGACACCTAAAATTCTATACCAAACTTAACAAACCCTCCCGTGGAATGTCACTAGTGAGTATTGGCTTCACGAGAATGTAATCAAAGTCTTTGTAATGGTTGTCACATTCCCATGTAAACACTTTAAAAGTAATACAATAATAATGCTCTCAAGTCATATAAATCGGTTCGTGGTGGTGGTGATAGGGAGGGGGGGGGGAACTATCGGAGCAATCGTAATTCGTGCCGCTTTCCTTCCGATTTTGTATATTGTCTTCCTTACTTATGCTGTTACTCATTGTTTGGCGGATCTCTTCATCTGTTCAATTGTTTTTTTTGGGGTTCTTCTTGGTTTGGTGCAATGATGACAAAGAAATGGCAAAAATCACAAAGCACAAACAGAATCGAGACAAATTGTAAACAAAGACACAAAACCATAAAATACAAAGATCAACATCACCTCCACTGCAAACGCGAAGCGTCATTCTCTTTGCACATACCGAGTGCTGAAACCAACAATGGATTGAAGAGTTCCCCAGTTATTCTCATGTGTGATTTGATGCGTATCCTCTAGATCTAGCGCAAAGTATTCAAGCTTGTGATCGGAGAGGTTTTTTTTGACCACGCAAGAGAACCTAAATCGGCTCGATTTTATATGAAGATCTGTCTCAATTCTTCAACTACTGGGGAGTAAACAGTGCAGATCGTTCACAAAACTTAAACAACTAGATGATGATGATGATGATGTTTTATTGGTCAAACGTATGCCAACACTAAGCGCCAATATATCCTGCTCCGTAAATCGGTTGATACTATGAAACTCTGCTTTTTATACACTTTGGTGACGCAATGGCCCCACCCACTTATACCAAAGCAAGATTCTCCTCGTAAAAAACATAACTAAGTAATTTAGACTTTTGCCGGAGGGTTTCACTTGAAAATTTTTTTTCTTTGTATTATTGGATTTTTATTGTTTCACATTAACCATAGCAATTTTTGTGACGAATCTCATACTGGTATTAGTGTACTCACTATCCGCGTTTAGTGGTCATACTTTACGAGTACATTAATAAGAGTGGATCGCTATTTACGAGCACCCACGCTCTCAAATGAGAATTCTCCAAGATGAGGTAGAGGGTGCTCCACTGCTCAGAACACAACTCATCATAGTTATAACATTCTCTCCACTTTTAATTGATATTAGCCACAATGGTTATGAGTTTCTTCATTACAGTACGAGCAATCCCTAACTCAACATTTTTTCTTCTTTTGTTTACACTAAAAGCGATTTTGGTGGAATGTATCATTACTTAAAGCCAAATTGCCTAATTGGGCAACATTGAATGCCAAAAATAAAGCCCCCAATGAGAGTACAAAAACGGATAAGCAGCAAATCGTTAACAACTTTTAAACTGCCACAATTCATACTTGTATATATATAGTATGTATACATTCCAGGTTCTCTTTATATAGTAGGATATCCCCGAAAGATCAAATCAAATTTGAGGTCATATATCAATCGCTCACATACCGTTCATATTCTTTTTTCCTTTTTTTTTTTTTGAGTTTTTTTTTTTTTTTGTACTGCACCTTAGTCAGAAGTCCTTAATATCTAATACACTAAGAGATGCTATTCAGGCGAAAGAGCAAAGATTCATTACAGAGTAGGGAGCCACTGGTTTCAATTAGAAAATCGAGAAGTGCAAGAGACCTACTACTGAGGTTAACAACGACGCCATCACAATCGAAGAAATCGTTAGATAAACACGACAAAAGAACTAGTCAACCCGAGCTACATTTGGACACAGATAGACAATATTTACCATATGAAGAACCATTTACAATTTTGACACCAAAGGAAGACGAGTTCAAAAACTGCGATCTCATGACACCTATTCGACAAATGACAGCAACTCCTGAGACTATGCAAGCTCCCCAACAGCATTCTTCTCAAACACACTCTGGACTGAGGGCAAAAGTGTTGTCAACCATAATTGACTTTGAAAACGAGTCCATTGTTGAAATGTACACGCCAAGGAAAGCAGTCAACATTCAAAATCATATCCGTCTCAATTCGGCATGTGCTGTTTTAGAAAAAATTAGTTGGGGGGACGATAAAGAAATTGGCGAACAGGATGGGATTGGAGAGGGGGATGTGTCAGCTACCACAAACGACGACGACGATTTGACATTTGATGGAGCGTTTAGCACATCAACCTCTTGTCAAAATTCTCCAAACAAAGACCCCTTTGACACAGTATCATTAACTGAAGCAAATATTCAGATATACAAGAGACTGCATCGAAAGTCCAAACATCATGACAGTCTACATTTTGTACAAGGTATTCTTGAGTCACCCACAAGACCACAAAAAGTACAAGACATACCAACAATAACACCACCACCATCTCTACAAGCTGGACTTGCAGAGGAGGAGCAAGATTCGCGAAATTCTGAATTGTACCAGTTGGAGATTATGTTGTTGCAAGAAAAACACAAATATGAAATGAAGCAACAACAAAGAGCCTTGGATGATTTACAGCTGCAATTGAAACAACAACGAAATGAAAACACCCTTTTGAGAAATCAGATTGCACAGCTAGAACATGAAGCGTATTTATTACCAGCATTTAAATGGGATAAACCTGGCAAATCTAATAGCGATGAAAGAAGTCACAAGGTTACATTCAAAGACAATGATGACGCTGGTTCATTCATCTCAACTGAAGAATCAATTATGAGTTTGTACTACGACGAGAGAAAAGTTTCGGGAGCCTCGACAGTTGGGTCGTCTAGCAATAGTGTCAACAAAAAGTTTGATTAGCTACGCTACGGGACAGTTACAACTCATAAAATTCATTTCTCGATTTCTACATCACGTTAATATATTTTCTGTTACAATTAAATAATTTCTAATAAAATTTGACATACGTTTGCAATGTAATATCCTAAAGTTCCTTTATATCGTTTTCATCAGCAACCAAACCCATAACAACAAGAAACATATTCAAATTGTTCAACAAGTTTTGTTTTTTGTAAAGATTGGCCAAATCTTGATTATCAATTGCTTTTGCTCTGTTCATTGCTCCAAAGATCTCATCTCTAACTTCATCAACAATTACTCTTTGATGACTCAATTTACCACCTAATGACAATGTTGCCAAAAACTGCCAAATGTAATTCTCCTTGGATGATCCATCATCGACATCCACTGGGTGGGGTGGGAATATAGCAGCGATTCTCGATTCCAAGGAAGTGAATAACTCATCATAACATGATGTCCACTCCGATAAGTCAGTTGCTGAAATCTGTCCTTCTCCAATAATCAACTCGGCACGCGACAACAATGTCGTGAGAGTGGTGAGACCGATTTTTGTAGTTGATACAAATGACACATTGTTATGCTCAATTAAAATAACCAACAAGCCAATAATTTCATTGAATTTAAACTCCAGCACAGCATTGATCAAAATTTTTGAAAATGTCATGGAATAAGCATCAACAAGTTTTAAAACCTTTTCGGGAACCTTTTTATCAGGATACGTGGTGTATGATCCATTCTTTATCACCAATAAATTCTCCAAATTGGACATGATTAAAGTGGCAATGGTCAAGATTTGTTGACGATTCAAGAATTTGAAAAGACGTACCAATACTTTCAACATCTTGTTGTAGTTCAAACATTGAATGAATGGATTGACTTCAGCTTCGTCATCACCCGAGGACGATGCTTGTTCCAAAACTTTCATCGATTCCCACAAGCTTGTTGTATCAACACTTGACGAGACCCTGGACTCACTCTCAACATTCATCAATTCCGAAATAATATTCTCTAAAATGGCAAAAATGTCCTTACGTGAGTATCTCTTAATATCCTCCTTCTTGGCAGCATCGTCGGTCACACCTTCATTCTTTTCTCTTTCAGCTGCTTTACTGATAATCTCCAATTGTTGTCTAGGTTTCTTTCCACTAGCAAATGAAATCTTACCCAACGCACCTTCTTTTGCATACTGATTAAACTTTGGACGACCCTTTGCAACATGCACCGCTTTCTGCACTTGTTGCTGCATTCTTTGTAATGCCACATCAGCTCTCTTGTAACGTCCACCTAACCTGTGACCACTGTGGTCCAAATAAGCTTGGGCAATTGAGTTATTTTGCAGTCCAACAGCTGGCTGAGGAACGCCATTGACAACTTTCGGATGAATGACTTTGTAGACTTGAGCATAAAAGTCTTCGTTGTATGGGTCTTCAGTAACTATATGCGACAATTGAAATCTAGTGACAAAGTCCTTATCTCTAGGATTCATAATTCCGGAATACTTCATGATTCTCGACACTTTTTCTAGTCTCTTCGCAGCTTTGGCTTGCTGCTCCGGGGTGAGCTCCTCAATCGGTTGTTGAGACTGTTGATGGCTGTAAGTTCTCTGCTGTCTAGTTTGAGATTGCTGCTGCTGTTGTTGCGAAACTTGTGACTGGTGAGCATGGTGATGTTGTTGCAACGCTTCCTTACCTAAGACTGGAAATTGCGACAAATCTACTTTCTGCGCTCTTTGTTGTACATGGTGTGAGCCTAAATCTTGTCCTTCGTTCACGACGGAAGCAGGTGCCTTATCTTGTACCTGTGCCGAAGGTTGAGCATGGCTTGGCAATCCCTGTTGAGGTTGAGATTGAGATTGAGGTTGAGATTGAGGTTGAGATTGAGGTTGAGGTTGAGATTGGGGTTGAGGCAAAGACTGAGGCTGTTGTTGCTGTTGCTGTTGTTGCTGTTGTTGCTGTTGTTGCTGTTGCTGCTGTTGCTGAATATGCGGTGGTAAGCCTTGCAAAGGTGGTAATTGTTGAGGAGGTGCACTACCCGGAAAACCATATTGAGGTGGCATATAACCCCCAAACATGTATCCATTAAATTGATTTGGTGGTGGAATCATTCCTGGAATGCCATATCCCTGAGGCGGAAACAGCCCTGGCTGAGGAAAGCCTTGTTGGAGAAATCCTGCTTGCTGTTGCTGGTTCTGATCAATCGCTGTCAATTGAGCTTCAATTTCCTCCAAAGACAAAACCTTTTTCCCAGGCTGGGAGACAGGGGCTCCTTGACTTTGAGGCTCATCACCCACTTTGTTGGGAGTGTGTGAAGTACCCCATAGCTCCTGCATAAACTCATCATCATTTTCAGGTACAGCTTGAGCTGCTTGGGCGTAACTTTGCGTTTGAACGGGCACTGTTGGAGCCAGAGAGGCCGCATTTTGCTTAGACTGACCATGACCAAAATCGAAATCTTTCTTGATATCTGCAACACTTGTTCCGAAAGTTTCAGTGTTGAATGCGTCATCCTCCTCTAATTCACCCAATCCATCGTATGTGTTTTCGAAATCGTATACTTCATTGCCATTCCCACTTCGAGGTGGCCTCGTGGGGTCAAATCCGAAAAAAGACATAGCTTGACTAAAGGATAAGAAGGATCGAGCTGATTCAATTTTAATGAAATTTGATTGCCGTGCCAGTCTATAAAAGGGTATTGCTGAATTTTTTCTGTTTTTTTTTTTCTTTTTAGTATTCTTTGTCGAAAGAAAGAAAAAAAATAAAATGGAAAATTGCATTCACAATTTATGTGCAGGAGTATCACGAGAGGATCTCACTATATATATATATATATTTCTAGTTACATCTATATCGATCTATCTATAAACAAGTCTATTTAAATGCCAGTAAGGCACTGGCCAACTTCAAGTTCATTTCATCCCATTCGCCATCCACGTCACTCAAAACAGTTATGGCACCCCCAGCACCTATGCGCCAAACATTGGTCTCCTTTGTATTCTCAAAATCTTGTTTATAATGGAAAACAGATCTGATAACAACACTCCAATCTGAATCATCTGTTACTGACCAATATCCCACAACACCACTATAAATACCCCTTCTACCTCTGCATCCATTTTGCAAGTTTTCAATGTCCTGCAACAATTGCACTGATCGCTTTTTTGGAGCACCAGTCATGGAGCCAGGTGGTAAGGATCTATGGAGAATATCGATTCCGTAATATCCTCTCCGTTTATCAAGAATCCCCTGAATTACGCTCACCAATTGAAACACAGTTTTATATTCCTCAACCGTCATCAACTGCGTCACTTTCACATTCTCTGTAAACTGATATAAGTCATGCCGAATCAAGTCCACAATCATCAAGTTTTCTCCCATCTCTTTTGGCGTTTTGAGAATTTCAGTTGCTTTGGCAATATCCACATCAGGGGTATTTCGAACAGTTCCCTTAATTGGTCTTAGCTCTACCATCTTGTCTTTGCCTTTATCTTTCCAAGAAACAAATCTTTCTGGCGAGGATGAGAGTAGACAGCAATCATCAAAGTCCATAAAACACGAAAAAGGGGATGGATTCTTGCGAAGTGTGAGGACCTTATAAATATCCCAAGCGTTGATATACGAAGGGAGGTATATCTTCAGCTGGGTTGTTAAGCACAATTCGTACGAGTCACCCGAATGGAGATACTCCTGACACTTGGCAAATTGCTTCCTATAAAAGTCTTGGGATGGCAATTCGAATTTAATGGAATCCACATCTTCCTCCAACGCAAGATCTTTCACACTGAGGGCAATCTTGTCAAGATCCATAGGCTTCACATTGGACAATTCATGAGTTATATCAGACGTCCAATTTGACCAATCGTTGATCGAGATAATGAACCACTCCTTGGTAACGTGGTCAAATATTAAAGACCGCTGGATGAACACGAGTTTGAGATCTGGAGTACTCTCGCAAAGAGGTTTGATTTTGTCAAATACCAAGTGCTGTCCCTCCTCATACGAAATAAGTCCCATATAACCAGCAAAGAATGGGACTTCTCTTTGAGGATAATTCTGGACTTTTGATTTGATCTCATCTCTAGAAATGAACCGATCGTGCATCGCGTTTGCAATATACCTCCAAGCGCCATCATGCCCATGAACATCGACAATCTCTTTTCCATTCAGCTTGTATTTAGACAACACAATTTGGTCCATATTATCAACAGAGTGAGTGATGACCTCACTTTCCCCAGGAATGGGGAACCCAATTATTGACCATTCCCCTGGGATAGATGCAGAATTCAACAAAACAAAATCTGCTGTACCGCTCTTTTGATAAAAATGGTCACAAACATCAATTGCAGTTATGCTTTCTGGCAAATGAATTTCTTCAAACGTGATTTTATCTAGTTGGAAGGGCAATTTGCTACCCTCTACTAAACTCGTCTCATGCACCTCATGACCTCTTAGACCTTCAAAGTAGTTATTCTGCCGCCCAGCCAAGCTTTCCCTGTAAATTGAATTAACTTCGTTGGCAATTTCTGTAAAGTTGACAATCAATTGTCTCCCACTTTCTGAGCAAATAGATTCCGGATGATATTGCACACCATAAAAAGGGTGTTTTCGATGTTTCACCGCCATCAATATTTCGCCATCATCGAGTCCTGTTTTATTCTCCTCTAAACAAAATGCTAAGGGCTCAATTTCTTCGTTCAACGTCTTCAAATCCACATATAAGGAATGGTATCTAACACTGGGGAATCTGCTCAATCCCAACAATAGTTTGTTCTCCCCAATGGGGTGAATATCATAAATTTGACCGTGTTTGACTTCTGTCAACCTGTCAACTCTATTTCCAAACTCATGACATATACTTTGAAAGCCTAAACATATGCCCAAAACTGGAACACTGATGCTGTCCTCCGCGATTCTATGAAGAAGCCATCCAATTATTCCCACATCTTCTGCATTGGCTGGATGCCCAGGACCCGGTCCTATCACTATATACTGGAAATGCTGTTTGATCTGTGTGTAGAAAGATTCGTATTCGTGAGGTTGAAAAGCGTCATTGTGTACAATAATTACTTCCTGATTGGTTGTATCTTTGATTAATTGTGCTAGATTGTTTGTGAACGAATCATATGAGTCTATAAGAAGGATCATTTAAGAAATGAGTTGTGAAAGTAGAGATGACTCTGTCTGTTTCACAATGGCATCAACTATTGAAGATGTTGTGCAGCTGCCTTGTCTTTGAAAAAAATTTTGAACCAGTCGCTTTTGTGTCAATAGAGTTTAAGCCAACATACATATACGACATTGGATCCAAAGCATAAGCCTAAAGCAATACAGATACATTACTTACACTGTTACTTATCTACTTTGCTTCGAGCTCTTCCTATTCCTCGTCATCATCGTCATCATCGTCATCATCGTCACCCTCGTCATCGCTGGACTCATCACTTGCAACCGTCTCGCCTAACTTCTTCAACCGTGACTTGTATACTTTGTTCTTATCATCCAAGTCAGACATCAAAAGCATCAAGTCGTCCAAATCAGACTTTGGAACAAATGAAGAGTACTTATCTTCCAAGCTCTTAATTCTCTTTTCCATTTCCTGTATTTCTTCTTTATGCTTCTGCTTGATTTGGGCAATCTCATCAGTCCTCTTTGTGGATTTTCGAGCATTCTCCTTCTCCAATTGGACCAGCGTTACCAAACTTTCATTTTCCTTCTTTAATTTTTCAATTTCCTCCATTTGGGCAGTTTGTTCCTTAATCAATGTCTCCGCTTTCGTCTTAAAGGCAGTGGCATCCAAGATTTGTTTCTTATTATCTTGAAGTTCGCTTTCAAGATTCTCGACTTTAGTCTCCCACTCCTGTGCGTCACTTTGGTTTTTTCTGGCATCCTCAAGTTCTTTCTTAACTTTATCTTTTTCGCTTTGAAGATCAAAAATCATCTGTTCTTTCTTGTTGCTGTCCTCAAGCTCAGTGGAAAGTTTTTGGTTCTTCTCTTTCAACTCGAGTATCTCGTCCTTTTGCTTTTTGGATTCTGCCAATTCAGCGTTGAGCTTCTCCATTTCCTTTTTAAGCTTTTCAAATTCATCCAGTTGTTTTTTTAACCCATCCACTTCCTTCCGAAGAGAATCGTTTTCCTTTTGGACCTTGTTTAGATCATTCTTTTCTTTCTGTGCCTTTTCAAGTTCATTCTTGACATCTTTATTTTCAGTTTGCAAATCAAGACCACTTTTGACTGATTTTTGAGCTTGGTCAAGTTCCTTTTTGAGTCGCTCATTTTCCTGCTGAAGCTCCTTACCACGATCACCTTGCTTCTTCGCTTTAGCAAGATCTATTTGGAGTTCTTCTACAACCTTCTTCAACTTGGTGCCTTCTTCAATTTTCGATTGCTTGGTCTCTAGGTCTTTGGTGAGTTTCTCAATCGTTTTTTCAAATTCCTTGTTAGTTGATTCCAACTCCTTTCCGGATTCCACTTGTGCTTTAAGCTTCTCAACTTTTTGAGAAAGTTCAACAGATTTCACACCATCCTCTTTAGACTTCTCCAACTGATCTCTAAGCTTTGCGAGATCTTTCTCGAGTTCAAGAACCTTCTTCTTAGCCGCATTTCCAGTGTCGACATCTAAGGATTTCTCAGTTAACTCACTTTGTGCTTGCTCCAATTTACTCTTCAAATTCTGGACATCGGAAGAAAGCGTTTTGACTTTAGTACTTGCCTCTTCTGCTACTCCTAATTTTTGTTTTGCAGCTTTCAACTCCTCTTCGTAGGTCTTGATTTTTGCCAACAATTCATTTTGAGCCCTTTGATGCTCTTCCTTTAAACCCTTTACCTCTTTGGACATTTTAGTACTTGCATTCTTGACATCGTTGAGTTCAGATATAGTTTTCTCGTTAGCATTTAACTCTGCTCGAAGTTTGGAAACTTGATCTTCTAAGTCTTTGTTACTTTTCTCCAACTCCGGTATTTGGGCAGCTCTCGTGTTAAGCTTTATCACTTCCTCTTGCAATTTCTTCACCTTTGACGAATAATCTTCTAATTCATGCTCAAGTTTATGAATCTTCTCGTCACTGTCTGATTCAAACTGCACTAGTTTCTCTCGAGCTGACTGGAGTTTTGTATTCAACTTTTCTACCTCGGTTTTCAAAGCACGCTGTTCATCCAAGCCACTGTCAATCTTTGATTGCAGAGTTTGTATCTCTGATTGCTTCTCTTCCAATGTTTTAGTTAACTGAGTCTTTACGCGATCTAGTTCCTCAACCCTCGATTTCAAACTTACGACTTCTTGTTTGGCTTTCAGAATGTCCGAGTCTTTACTGTTAAGGTCTCTAGTTAGCGACTCTATTGTTGCTGTAGCTCTCATATGCTCATTTTCTTGACCAACTAAACGTTGGTTCACACTCTCAATTTCCTTTTTGAGCTTGTTGATTTCGTCCTCCTTTGCACGCTTAACTTTTTCAAATTCATTCTGAATAGTTTTTGTGTCCTTTTCGAGTTTCTTTATCTTACTCTCAGAGTCGTTATTTTGCTTCTTCAACTGGAAAAGATCTTTCGTCATTGTGTTTACACCCGATTCAAGCTTTTCCTTTGCCAGCTCTGCCTGGTTCAACAGAGCTTCCAAACGTTTCTTCTCCGCCTCAAGAACTTCCAACCTCTTCAAGCTACTGTCTAGATCCTTTTGTAATTTTACCGATGAAGACTCATATTTATTCTTCAATGCTGTTACTTCTTCGAGGCTTTGCAGCGTAGACGCAATATTCTCCTTTGCAGTTTCATGATCTGCCTTCAATTTTTGAAGATTGTCTTCCGTTGACACCAAGCGCAGCTGAACATCTTCCTTCAAAGTTTCCAATTCTTTAATCTTTGACCTCATAGTTGATTCGCTTTCCAAGTTTTTTTGCTTTTCTTCATGTATTTCCTTCTTTAGTTCAGATATTCTCAAATCAAGTTCTTCAACATCCTCGTAAGATATCTTGCGCCTTGGCTCACCTTCGGGATCGTGAAACAAGGCTCTTTTAATTCTAAACGAGTTTTCTTTTACCAAATTGACATAAATAACGTCAAAGTAAACATCGGGCAAGCCACTATCATCTTGCACTGAACTGAAATTCAGCGTCTCATCAAAAAATTTGAATACAGGGTCGGCAACCAATTGTTTTACCTTCAAGGAATAGTTGTCTCTTCCCAAACTCTTTACAAGGAGCGCATGTAATTCTGTTCTTGTAATAGGAGACTCTTTTGTGGAGAATTCGTAAACAACACCAAGTAAAACAGTCGTCATACCATGAACAAGCAGGTTTTCACCAATCGAGCTATGAGATAAGGAGTTCAACAACGATTTAACAATGGAACCATCGTTTAGGAAGTCATTAACTGCATTGAAATCCTCGTATAGCCAAACAGTAAGAAGCATCAAATATCCAATAGCAATTCTTTGATCCATATGGGTCAATGTCGTGATGAGTAGCCCCGATATTGCTTGCACTGAAGTCATGACTTCCTCTCCAGAGTCCGCATCTCCCGTCTTGACTGCTCTCGCAAGATCCCTATTCGCTGGTTCGTCTTCAAAAGCGTACATTAGTATAACAGCAGCAAACCAAACTTTGTAAGGATTCAACTTCAAATCGGAATCATAGTCCATTAACACTTTAAAAACGTTTCCGAAAGGCGTGCGAATACTATTTCCATTCATGAGTGGTAAGTCTTCCTTCAAATTTCTATAAAACTCATCGTCTGAGTAGGCGGAAATTTGATCGTTGAGAAACGCCATTTTGGACTCTTGATTATGCTTGAAGTACGATTGTAAGCAGTACGCAGCCCCGATTCTAATGTCAAATAAATGCACTGAATTTAAAAGCAAACACCAGTTGAGCCAAGCCAATGGCACCAGAATAGGCTTATCATAAGCTTGAAGATGTGACGGCAAGGAGGGGTCAATGTATGGCACATCGATTTTAGAAATCTCAAATTGTATAGTGGGGTTTCCACTTATAGCATCGGCTGTGGCTAGCAAAGCCACGGAGCGAACCAGAATTTCAGTAATGGGAGAGAAAACAAGCTTTAAAAGGATATAATGGATTCCGTTTTGGTACAAGTTGTCCTGGTTCTGTACAACCAACTCATTGTCTTCGGAGACCAATAATCTGCAAATCTCCAAGGCGATTATCATGTTTTGTAATCTTTGTTCAGTCCAAACCATTGGCGAGGAAGGGAACGTGGATCCATTTCCATCATAATCTTCATCAGTATTGCCCGCCTCCTCCGTTTCGTCAATGGGCTCCCCCAACAATTTCGCTAGTCTTGGAACGCACTGGGTCTCTAGAAAGAATTTCTGATTCGATGCATTAAACTGCAAGAGATTAGTGATCAAAGTCAAACAGTCCTGGACGAGAATTGACCCACGTATTCCCCCCTCCTCATCTATAATATTGAACAAGGTTTCGAACGTGTTTTCAAATGCAACCAATTTTTGAATATTGAAATTATTATTGACCACCGCCATTAACAACAAAATTGCTTCATTGCGTACCGGCTCGTGTATATCCTGTAGTAAGTTGCAAATTGTCGACATTGAAGTGGGCACGTTCAACAACGCTTCCTTAACTCTTGTTCCCCGACTGGCCACTAACGATTCCAAAAGTTGTATAGTGTACACTCTCAAATGGTAGTCGTTCTCATCCAATTCGTCGACCAAGAGCTTGAATGCATCTTGGTCTTGGAGAAGTGCGTCTGCAATCCACAATGACATTTGGTCTAGAGTGTAATCCATCAACAATGGGGACGGATACTTTCCATTTTGCAATCTCAGCTGTTGAGAAATCCACCCTCGGGTCAAATCCTCGTTGGTATCTCCACGGATAAACAAAATGAGGAATGTTTCTAGTATGGATTTAACCAAGTTGGTATTATCGTAATCTTTCTTCAAAGTTGAAATCAATGGCTTCAACCCATACTCAACAACAGTTTCTCGATACTGTCTGCTGAAACTTTTCAAACCTAAAACAGCAGACCGTCGATCTGACACCAATGCCGCATGTTGCAATCGGTTGCATAGCGTAGGAATGGCTTCCTCCACCAGCTGTGTCTGACCTTGACTCCCCAAAATGCTGTTTATATACTCCATGCGATGGTGGTTGACGTGGTGGTCAATGTGTTATGAAGAAAAAGGACCAAAGAAAGAAAGAAAGAAAGAAAGAAAGAAAAAAAAAAAAAACACATAAAACCCCTCGTGTAAATGAAGTCTAAAACACGTCAGTGCCCTCTTCCATAACAGATCTCAACACATCTATTTCGGTCCATCGAAAGAAATGTCTTGATGCCATTTGAAGACTCCAAATACGATATTGACGAAGAGACGCGGAACCTCCCTTCAACAGTTTGTTATTTCCCAACTTTGGCAGATTTAGATACCCATTCAAGTGACGATGCAATCGAAGACTCTAACGAATCAGTCTTGAAAAAAATCAGCTTGTTGCAAATCAAGCTAGAGCAGTTGCAATACTCAAGGGATTCAAAGAACATGGGTGGGTTAAATTGGAGCTTCAACAAATTCTCGGGCCACATATTATACGAATTAGCTAATGAAGTTTTTGGATTTAACGGGTGGTCCACGTCAATCGAGGAATGCGTGATGCTGGACGTGAATGTTGTTAATGATGAAGGGGTCCCTGCCACTGGTCATTTGAGTAACGAAGCAGCCCCAATTTCTTCAAATGTTTCAGCGACAACCTTAAGCAGTACGCCAACGGCCCCAAATAGCGAGGAAACGAAACAAAGGTACTCGGCAAAGTGTATTTGCGTCGTACGCTTGACCTTACTGGATGGTACTTGCACCGATGGCGTAGGCGAAGGCTCGGCTTCCAATATACCACATAAGTATATGTGCTATTCCAAATGCAAGAAAGAGGCTGTTACTGATGGAATGAAGAATGCAATTATCGGCCTACGCGACTTATATTTCAGGTACGAGCTGAAAAAGGCTAGTGAAGAACTTGGAATTGATGACCCAAGCAGTCAAAATTAAAGCTACGTGCGCTATACAAGGTGTGCATAATCAATAATCCAATATGCTAAACTTTGGAAATTTGTTGACTGTAGGTTTAGGAATCTCTTCCATCAAATATACCTCCCCATTATCATCAATTCTCTCACGATCCCTCTCGCTCATATTGTGTATCTCATCGATATTCTCCAGAATGAAATCAATCAACTCACACCAGTTCTTTTGAATCTGATACGCCTTTTCCTTCATTCGACGTCTGATCAAACCTTCAATCAACCTGATTGCATCTGGCTGTGTCTGGTCCAATCTCTCCAATAAACGGCCAACTGATCTTATCAAGTACTCTTCTTCATAAATGGTGCCCTTTCTACCTTTGGCCTTTTTACGCTCCTCACGTTTCTTGTTTTTCGAAGTACGACGAGAAGCCCCAGTCTTTGCAGTTCCTGCAGTTTTACCAGTATACCTCGTGAAAAAGGATGGCGCGGTGGACGTTTCCGAAGCAGCAACCGACACGTTGTCTGGCGTATCCAATTCATCAGGAGTGCCATAAAAGGAATATGGATCTTCCTCCTTCTTGGCACGCAACTCTCTCAACCGTCTCAATTGGGAATTCATTTGTCCTTTACAATCTGCCAAGAGCTCAGCAATTGTACCGAACCCTTCATTGATTTGAACGTCGATGACCGATTCGATTAATTCGGACTGTGACTCCTTCTCGGCAATAAGAATAGCTTGGTCAAACCAATACTGTTTGCAGTAGAGTTTGATGGCTTCTCGAACATTTCCCAAAAAGTGGTACTCAATCTCGGCTGCGTCACTATACTTGTGGTCAGCAGTTAATGTGTTGACAAGATTGTTTGCCGTTGTTTCAAATTTCCCTTTATACTCGGGCATTGCAGTAATTGATAATGCCGACTTCCACTTTTTGGCCAAAATGTAATTTTCCAAAGCCTCATCCAATTTGCCCAAAAATTCAAACGCCAACCCAGCCTCATTGAAGTTAGTTGTATGATGCAAGTGTTCAGCAAACAAGTGCATTATGTCATTGCCCCTCTCCGAATTATATTCATAGATTTTCAACCCTAGCTTGAACAAGTCGTGTTTGACCACATATTCATCAAATTCAACATACGCTTCTGTGCCCATCTCATGTAACCAAGCTAACGCCAAATTGTACTTCTTCAAGTGGTCATCAATCAAGAATTTTCTACGCAATTCCGGTTGTACGTGTAAATTCTGCAAAAAGGGAAGATACTCCTTTGGATCCGTTTGAGATTGTTGTGCAATCAACAAGGTTAACTTGACATCATACAACCCCAAACAAGTGTCATAAAGCTTGTTGACATCTTGTAAGAAGCACAAGTGTGTAATTGCAGTTTCCTTTTGTTGTTCCTCCTTCAATCCCCCAATCAAATGCAAAGCTTCAACTAAATTAGGTGGCTTTTCACAAGCGTACGCTGTCAAAACAGTTTGCATATAGTTGCCAAAGTATTCCGGCTTGAGTAATACCGTCAAGACTGCTCCACAGATTCTGTTGACTTTGGAATCTTTGAATTCTTTAAAAACTTCTTCCTTTTTGTTTGCAAACTTCTTACGGAAAGCAGGTTGCAATGTTTCCCCATTCTGCTTTGTCTCCAATTCGTTGACACCTGCATCAATCAACGTCTCCCTGTATTTAGTCTTGGTCACATCCTCCTCGTGCAAACAGGATACAAACAAATCCAAATACTCAACCTTTTGGATCTGCTTGACGAATAGCTCAACATTATCAAAGAACAAAGCAGGATCGTAATCATGCAAGATGTCCAAGTCAATTCTGTGCGTACGACATGCAAGGAATGCATTGTAAAAATCCTTGGAGGCAATGAATTTCCGGATAGCCGACAAAACCATTATTCTAGGACAAATAGTCTCAAGATTTCCCCTTGGAGCTTCCAACACAACTGAATACTTTGTTGGCATTGCATTAACCAAAAAGGATCCTCGCTCAATTTGTCTAATCCTCTCATCAACGATATTCTCGTTGGACAAGTTCTGAAACACTTCGTAGTTTTCGAGCTCGGAATTTAAATGAACAAAACACAATTTCGAAAGCACTGTTGTGAATAGCAAGTGGGACTCTGTTATCAATAACGAAGTTACGCCATTAACTATCGGCGTGTCGTTACGAAACAATTTCCCATTTCGCGATAAACCAAAACTCTCAAACTCGTCTGTTTCTTCCTTGTAGTTGACTTCAAATTCACGACACAACTGTGGAAGCTTGCACACCTCTTTGAGATCTTGTGTGGAGTCAATTTGGATAAGCCTACTATCCACGGTCTCTATTATAATCGTGTTGAAGTCGGCTCTAGATTTCATCAACACCAATTTGGGGGTAACATCAACGGAGTCGTTGAGCTTTGGGTTCTTGATATCATCAACCTCCATCAAGACTACACGGGAATAGGTTGGCGCATCAACAGCAACAGCCACAAAGTCGTCCCTAATGAATGCGATTTGTTTTGCCACCTCATCCGATTCGTTGATGTACACGTCTGCCGCTATTTTGCTCAAAACGCGAGGATGCTGTCCTTGTTTCATGGCGTCAATGGACAATTCACTAAGGAAGATGTCATTATTACTGCTTAATGTGGCATACTTTTCGTTTGACTTGCTAACTGCAAGATCATTGATATTTGCTGGAACATCCAACTCACGGAAACTGATTGGCGGTGGAACGTTGGCAACCGAGATTGGAGTTATTTTAGCAACAGAGCCATCTGTAACCAAGGTCATCCCAATGTCATTGCCAAATCTCGTTGGTCCTCTAACGATCTTGTAAGTAAGATCTATAATCTGCAAGCCACTCAATGTTCCAATCATAAAATTTGCCGGTTTTTCGGGATGAAATTTGGTGAATAAAATGTCCTTGGCAAAAATCTCTTGTTTTAAATACCAATGGTAATTTTTCGTCGTCCAAAGTTGTACTCTATCCTTGTATTGTATAAGTAGGATTTCGCTATCTGAACTCCAAGTGATATTTTGCACAACTTCTTCACGAGGGTCAACTCGAAGATTGAATTGTCCGTGCCTAAGACCATTACGTTCGTAAAACACCAAATCCAACACCTCTTCGCCATCTTCATCATCGATGTGTCGTTGAGTGGATGCAATAAGTGCACCTTGAGGCTTCCAGCTGAGGTTTTGTTCCAACCCATCAACGGCTTCATTGACACTGTCAAGTTCACCTTCCCTGTTGAAAACTCTAACGACTCTTCTATCGTATGTTTCACCGGTATCTTCAACTAGAACAGGTTCTTTTGTGTTGATTGCAAAATACTCAGAGTCACCTCTCCAGCTAATTCTCACGGTATTGTCGTCAAAGTCGGAGATTGTACCACGTTCAATTTCATTCACTGTGGGATCACGTAATTGAGTTGACTTTTCATCCAATCCTGCATGTTTCAAAGCTTCCTTTTCTCTCTCCAATGCTTTGAAACCTCTTCCTTTGAATTGAGTTTCCTTTTTACCCCATCCAACAGATACGTGTTTGGAATCGGAAATCTTGATATCACTTGAATCTAGCAACTTTTCAGAGATTGGCTCAAAGACTCTTGATAGTAAAAGCAACTTGTTTTCGTTTGTTACCATGGCCAATGTCTCCTCATCATGTGACCACTGTGCTGCCTGCAAACCAACGTCGATTGTCCCCACAATTTCAATGATGGTGTGGTCATAATCATTTGTTTGTTGTGGATCATAGCTTGCAGTGATGATGTCACCATTGCTGAAAACAAACACCAATTGGGCTGAGTCAACAAAATGAACAGTGTTTAGTAACTGTGAGTTAACTGGGAAGCTCGCAAGTACAGACACGCTTCCATTCTTGTGATATTGCTGAACTTCAACAATTTGACTTTCTTCAGAGGATAGAACAAATGTGATGGCATCAGAAACTGCATCATAAACACTGTCAATTATGTGCAAATCTGGATAGGTTTGTGATTCGGGACTAATGTAGCCCCTGTTCAAGACCACCAAGTTTCTCATGATTGTATTGCGGAAATGTCTGAGCTCTTGTTGACTTTCTAGACACTGAAATTAGTTCCGGCGATGGCAGCTGCTCATCATGGAAGAAGAGCCAAAAAAAAAAAAAAAAAATTAAATAAAAACACAATCCATTGCTTTTATGCAGGACCAAATGGCTTTTAAAACCCGATCGGAGTATGGCTCACCAGATGAAGAGCCAAACTTGACAATATTGTAATGCTTTGATGTTATGCATTCCATGCTATGCTACTCTATATACTATACTATGCTCTGCTATCAATACTTTGTTTGCTTTGCCCCTCTTTATACGCCTCGACAGTATCTTTTATGATCAAGTTTGGATACAACTGATCTTTACTCAAGGACTGCTTACTTATGGGATCATATTTGCCCTTTTTGTCAATGTGATTCAAAATCTCCTCTTTTTCATAAGTGATTCCACTTGGAGTAACTACTGGATCTGTCAATATCTCAAAGGATATTGGATCCAACAAATAGTCTGGCGCTTCGTCAACCGTATTTGAATCTACATCATTCATTGAAAGCTGCGACACTGATGATCCCGAAGAAGATGTTGAGCTCAATCTCGACTCGGAGCTTGACTCGAGCTTTTGCATCTTGTGGTTGTGTACATGGTTATCGTATAAGGAATGGATGAAATTATTTTTGAAAATGTCCAACAAACTTTTCAACTCAGTTAGTTGTGACTTGAGCAAGTTGAATAGCTTGGCGTCGTATTTGTTTGTTCCGCTATGCTCTCTATTTAGCTCCTCGATTTGTTCTTTATGGTTTTGCTTCATTAACAGGATTAGTTTTCGTAATAGAGACGTGTTCTCGTATTGCGAAAGTTGTGCAGTGGTGATGTTTATATCGTTTTGAACATGAGGTATTAGTTCTTTGTAATCTCCTCTGATTTGAGTACCTCTAGGCGCTCTCTCTGCTTTGATCGATGGTTTTAAAACAGTTTTGAAGTTGGTAAACATGGTAATGGTCTAAGGGATTCAAGATGAGCTTGAATAGAAAAAAAGTGGAGATGACAGGTGAAGTTGTTCAATGTCAGAGATTCATATAAAGTTCATCGTCTGTCTATTTAAGAAAGGCCCTCTGTCTCTTCCTGATTTAGTGCTACATAAAAAAGAGCGGATTTTAGTTAGTAAGAATAATAAATGGGTCTATTTTTTAAATTAAATTATGTAAGCGATTGCAAAATAACTTGACGACAAAAAAGAAAAAAATGAAAAAAAAATTGATCTTTGTTTTGTTGTGATGCTGCTGTGATGTTTACTAATCTCTATTTATGAGAGAGGGAGAGAGAGAGAGAGAGAGAAACACCTCATAAAAGAAATTGAGACCTCATATTCCTTGAAGAAAATAGTATATTACATGGGAGAGTCTGACTAAGAATCAGGACTGTCACCAGATACAACATAGTGTCACTAACTTCCACACTCTTGCTGGTCTACTGTGTACCTAAAATTACTATACATGTATGACATCATAAACATTTGAGCGCGATTGGTAGCACAACCCATTTTTATTTTTAGTTTATTAACACAAACTTTTAAGAGGGGCACTAGCGTTTTGAAGGAAAGGGGGGCGCTGGGAGAGGGGGGGGGAGGTGACGTATATGCACGCTCACGTCATACAAGGCGTATCGGTTGCATACCTGGCTGAGGTTTTGTTTTTTCTTTTTTTAATTTGGTCCAAGTCAACAACAGACAAAGAGTTGCCAAGAATTTTGATTTTCTTGTGAAAAATCATTGCGCTATTTTTGCGCAAATCAACCAAGGGGGGGGAAGGGAAGAGGAGGAGGAGGGATGGGGCTGTGAAATCAAGAGATTGTAGAACACTATTGAGAGGCGTAGTTGTAGCATAATAAGCCATCATTTCTCTTGTCATCTAAAAACCTTTCGAAAGATACATAATCGTAATCCTATATATATATATATATCTTCGAAAAGAAGTTTTCCTCCTCCAAAAATTATTCACTTCAAATGACACATTTGATATAACGAGGTTCAATTAATCCACCGCCTTGAAAGCAGTTGATTAAGAGAGCTACCAGTCACCCTCACCGGCTCTTGCAATTCTCTCCGGAAGCGTGTTGGTGATGTTATCACAATTTTTTTTTTTTGCAAGTTTTGGTTAATCTTGACTTCGATCATTACAAAACTCAGTGGACGTTTTTCTGTGTCTCCAAATTAGTAGAGAGAGAGAAAGCTATTTGACAAGAAAATGTGATCCAGTTGGCCCCTTTGTTTCTTTGCAGTTGAACCAGTTGGTAACCCTTGTGAGGCTTGAGAAGATTCCCCCCCCCCAGGTCTTTATAAACCCAGCGATTGAAGTATTTTTAATCTCCGGAATAGCCGCGAGAGAATTAACCGGTTTTGTGCGCTTATAAAAAAAATGTGTCAGGCCAATTCAACAACCGTCTTATCATTTGTTAGAATATAAAAAAGAACAAGATCGACTCTTGCTTAAATCATTCCACAGTTTTTTTTTTTCTCATCACTTTTGGGCCATTGAAACTCAATTAATCTGCCAAGGATCTACAACTTAAATCATGACCAAGCACGAAGAATCATTAATTCAAGAAGCCGAGGATGCTGACCCTTCAATTGCAAAACTTCCTCCTCACAAAGTCGACAAAGTCGACTTGGAAGAAGACAAAATAAGGGGTCAAGCTGCAGAGGAAGAAGAACCAGCCCCAGCCCCAGCCGTGGACCAAAAATTTCAGGAAGAAGAAAAAGAAGTTAGTGAATGGAACACCAAACACGGCTTCAAGGATCCCAAGGAGTCATTGCTTCAAGAAGCCGAAGATGCCGATTCAAACATCGCCAAATTGCCAGCTCACAAAGTTGACAAAGCCGAATTGAAGGAGGATGAAACTCCTAATCCTGAAGCTGATGACATTGAACAGGAGGAAGTTAATGATGACAAGTTGAAACAAGAGGAGGAAACAGTTACCAAATGGAATAAAGAGCATGGATTCACAGATAATAAGGAATCTCTCCTTCAAGAGGCTGAAGATTCCGATCCAGCTATTGCAAAGTTGCCTGCTCACAAGGTGAAGGAGGAGGAGCTTGCTGAAGAGCTTGGAAAGGATGAGAAGCCTGAAGCGTAGGATTCATAGTTTAGAGCACGTTTTGAATATCCATAACAGAACACTCAATGCTGTTTAGCAAGCTTTAAGCATAGCTTCTTGTAGATATACTCTGCGCTAATGCTCCATAAGAATATGAGCTCTCCTGCTAAATTTTGAAGGAGTTAAAAGCTGCTTTGCTTAAAACACCCACAATAAAAGGACCGTTCTTGTTTCACGAAATAGAGGAAGTGTATACTCACCTCCAGTATCAATTAATAGAGCCGGCTTTTCTGAGATAGAACTTGGCAACGATTGCAATGGACTCCGTATTGAAACATACTAATTATAGGCTTTAGCTGATTACAGCTCGAGTTAACAACAAATGCCATTCTTGTATGGTGTTTTGTAATGGGTAAGGGGGTAGCTTTTGACTCCTTCAAAAATGGGGAATACCCTTAGTAATCAGATATGTCTGTCCCCAGACGAGGTTTATCCACAGAAGAATATGTTTATCATCGGTATACTATGTTAGAACGTTTCCCTAGCGATGTTTAAAATGTGCTCTTAACAAAGGCAAAATCATATCTTCTGCTTGTGTACGACTTTGGCTTAGAGACAATCATTGTCGTAAACTTCAAGACAACAATTGCGACACGTCAAACTCAGCGTA